TCAAACTAGGAAATAGCTGCATTTCATGGGGCAGCAAAAGGCAAAACTGCATTGCATTATCTTCAACTGGATATAGAGTATATTGCAGCAGCTAATACAGCTGAAGAAGCACAATGGCTGTTAAATTTACTTAAGGATCTAGGACTAAGACAAAATCTACCGATTACTCTTTATGAAGATAACAAGTCATGCATCAAACTTTCACAAAGAGGGAAAAATAGCTCCAGAACAAAACATATAGACATCAAATACAACTACTCTCATGAACTTCAACAAAAGGAGAATCTAAGCCTAGACTACTGCAGAAGCTCCGACATGATTGCAGATCTGCTCACCAAACCGCTTATATAAGGCCGGCGAGAGCATATGTTCTCAGTAGTTATCGTTAGGTGTATGAGTTCCGAGTGCTATCTCTAGTTTAGCTTAGCTCTTTAGTTGCGCTTTGGATTGCGTTGTATTTAACCCCTCCCCAGCCCGAATAGTGTCTGGCTTTTTCTGCTTCTTCTATACCTGTCTATGTTTGTTCGTCACTTCAAGTTGTCCATGGTTTTTTACATAACTTCTGTATTTGAAGGTCAGTGTAAAACAGAAAATTCATGATTGTGCACGTGGTTTTTTTAAGGTTGTTTACTTTGCTTTTAACGATAGACTTTGCAAATCTTTACATAACTCCGAATTACGTATAACTAAATTACTTATTGTTATAGATAAAAATAACACCCAAATATTATAGCATTATCAACTATTACTTAATCCAATGGGCCTCAGCAGTCCAATAAAGCTCCTGCGACAGTAAATTTTTCATCGTTCCGAAATAAACAATTTATTATTATATTAATTATAAATTATTAATTATATTTTAATTATTAATTATAATTTTTAAACAATAATATAATTAAAACAATCATATTTTAAGATACGGCTCAGAATTGGCAGCCCAAGCTATCAACCCATTTATCCGCCTCTGGAGTAATCAGGAGTTGACTGTATTGTATCAATCAACGGAGTCAAATCAGGAGTTGATTGTACAGTATCAGGAGTAAAATAGCAAAAATGAACACAATTCAAAAGCTTAATTTTATTTAATCTCGAATGAAGGTCAGACGATCTGCATAGTTGGATTTATTGATATCTGTAATTCGATTCAATGGAAATCTCATTTTCTCTGTTTAGAATATACTTTTCATCATTAGTTTAAAGTTATAATTAAGAAAAGAGCAAAATCAAATTAGCTAGGAAATTATTAATTGCTTTGAATAATGAAAACGCAAATATTTGTGTTTTGTGATAAGATGGGTATATACTGAAAGAATTCGACTCTAATCAGTGATTTCCACACTCGTATATTAAAAAATCGCCGTTTGGAATGTACAGTTCCATGAAAAAAGCTACATTCCATGAACAGAGTTAGTAATCTAATCAGATCTCCATAAAATAGATGCAAAAGTTTTAAATGTTCTTTTATTGGTTTAATTAATAAAGGGTTGTAATTTGTTAAGCTGAAAATATACCATGAAGCTAATAAACTCCTTTTGTTTATTTTAGCATCGCCATAATGTTTTATTTAAAACTAATTAGCATACTTCATTAAAATTGTGAAAATCCATATGTAATTTGATCTAGATTTCATTGAGTATAAACTTTCGGAGAACATAACTTTTACATTCAGAATTTTTACTCCATAATTTTATTTATATATTTATTTATGTTTTAAAGATATATCACAAAATTAATACAGATGTTAAGCCATACTTTTAATTCTCTTTGTTTAGCATGCATTCAGTTGTCAACCTCATAACGTTCGCAGACAAATGGGATTAGGATTTTACTAAGAAATGAGGAAAGAATATATTTTCTGCATGAAAATTCCTTGAAAGAGAAAAAAAAAAAAAAATTCATGAAAATGAAAGAGTTCATTTGTTTCACCGAAATCAAAGAGTTTTTGAGTGAAACAAAATGAAAGAGGGATAAGTTTCGAAATTTTCATGATATTTCGCCAATAGAATTTCGAATTAATTTCAGCGAAATTTATAGGAAAACTTGTAAAAGTCACGAATTTCTTTCTTTTTATTTTCTGAATTTTTAAAAGATTCGAAATATCGTGTGTGTATGGGGGAAGGCATATTATTACACACGTCGAAGAAGTGTTTGATGCTTTCAGTATACAAACGGGAGGGGAGAAAAAAAAAAAAAGAGTGCCATTTTAAGTGTTTTTTTATTACTTTTTTTATTAAGTAAAAGAGCATGTCTCCAGGTGGAAATAATTTATGATAAAATCACATGAAACAAGTTTTTTAGCCTACTGTTCATTATTGCTATATATTATAACAGCTCGTTAAACATTATTGCTATATATTATAACAGCTAGTTTAAAACATATTCTTGCGCGCGTACGGGTTCGTAATATATTGAGTGCACACAGGTCCAAGGATAGGTTAATAAAATTTATCTTATCAAAAGAACACTTTAAAGTTCTGAAATTTTTCTCACAGAAATACTTGTACAGGTGTTCACAGTATCATGGAGTAAAATCAATAGCTATACTTCAAACTACTAATAACATTAAACTCAACGTAAGCATAATGTAGAGCGTATCTAAAGTTGGTGTGTCGGTGTATTTAATTATGGCAAAGCACACTAGGGCTATCTGCCTAAAGAGGAGGGATGCCTTCGTGGAGGACTTTCTAAGGGAAACTGGCTCGTATACACGTTACACATGGGGAAAACCACGAAACCGCCCATGCAGCCAGCCCGTTCACAGGATTCAAACCTCGGACCGAACTACCAGTGTTCAGCGACTAATAAATAATACCGCTCCGCTGGTGGGCATCGTATCTAAAGAGGAAGTAGTTAACATGGAGATATCTCAGTTCAAGCTGAACTAACAACTGGCAACAATAACAATTAAACAATAACTGAGCGCAGATGCTTTGTCCAGCCTTATATTGTTTTTAACCGGCCGCCGCAGAATGGAAAGCAAATGGGGGTCGAATTACGGTTGCAGCTAATTATAGTGATCAATTACACCTATTACGGTGATGCAATCCAAATGGTCGCCAAGTTCAGCGACTTTTGGCTATTTCTCGCCAAATTTGGTGACAAAAGTAGACGTCCAAACCTCTGCCAACTTGGCGGTATCTCGCCAAATAACGGAGATAGCCATTTACTCAATGTTAAATAGACTTACTTGGCCCTGTGTTCTTACTTTTCCGGCATAACTCATGTCTTTAAATTTTTCATGTTTTTATTTGTAATCAAATAAAGAAATTCTACAGAGCATAAATAAACACTATTATTGTTAAAACTTGAAACAGAAGTTACAGTATTATATGTTAAAGTTGAGTGCTTAGTCGAAAGAATAAAAGTTAAAGCTGAGAACAAATTTTTGAATTAAATTCTGTGGTTTATCGAGAACTTTATCCTAATCGAACTTAGAACTGACGTGCGCCAAGGCGCGCCAAGGATCGAGTAGCGCGCGAGGCGATTGTGGACGTGCACAGAATGTAAGTGCTTGTCGTTAGAGTTGTACGTATTTGTAAGCTTTTATGTACAGTCTGATGTGTCTTGTATATAATAAAGTATCATGTAGATTAATACAGTGTCGTGTATAATAAATACCCACTAAAAGACGTAACAAAAGGTAGCGATGAGGATTACGGATTTGAAAATCCTGTTTTACCGCTATCGAAGTAATACATTTGGATTAGGGCATTCCCTGAAGACTGCTCAAGGTAAAACTTTTATAAGTACTTTTGTCGAAATAATTAAGCACGAAGCAGCTTGTAATTGACCTAATACAGCAGAATAAAGCTCTGATGGAGAAACTTACTTCAGTTATTATTCCATCGACGGATAATTCGAAACTTTCTATTCACTTCGAAAAATATAATGAACATGAAGAACAGTTTGATTCACTTTTAGGAAGATTTGAAAGTTATTTAGATATACAAAATGTTCAACGAGATAAACGTGGAAAAGTTCTCGATACGCCACATATCTCCCCCTCTATCACATGTGCAGTCTATTGGGGGGGGGGGGGCGGCGAGTTCTACTAAACCGACGCAAAGTTTGTGGCTGGTTTCTTTGGTTGTAGAGACATTAGGTATTTTTGGAAGCAGACAAGATGAAAAATTAGCAACGCCTTCGCCGGGACTCGAACCTCGGACCTCTGGAATATGCGCCCAGTGTGCAGACCACCACACCACGAAGGCATGCCAAGAAGGCTTCAGAAATACCTTATATGGTAACCTTGTTGTATCAGCAGAAGGTCCGGTGGATGGAACTTCTGGTAAAATCTTTACTTCGGAAGGCGACACAGACTTATCTACCTGGTGGCTAGGCTATTATCTTTGAATAGTTCTGGAACTCCACTCTTATCAGGCTATTTGGAAATCACGAGAGCTGGAGGTAGACGTATGCAGCCCTAATCGTCTATCGTTCTTCCATCACGCATCTGGTCGACAAATTCTTTTATTTGTTTATTATTCAGAGGGTATAAAATTATTTTCCGCGTAATAAATAAATAAAATTTATCCTTTCGTCTTTAATCAAATGGAAAACTTCGGTTTAATAGGGGCTTTGTACATTCACAGTATGTAACTGTCTTATTTATTTATTTATTTATTTTTGTTGTGTCTACTTATCCATCTTTTTCAATCATTTATTGTTAATTTGTCGCAATCTTGTTCAGTCGCCTCCTCGACCTTTGATATTAGCAGTGGCTATATTTTCGACCCTATTTCAGGCACGTGCATTCTAGGCAAAGTATTAGAGACAGTTAAAACTATGAAGCTTTATGTTGACATGCCAACTCCTCAATGAATCGGCCGTTGCTGGAGCAATGACGTGACAAAAACAGCACAGCAAAAACAATGACGTGAAAAATTAAGCCCTGAGGGGGAAATCCTGACACATTTATAATCAAATTATACCCTTAAATGGAAGTTGAAACAATAGTAGTCGTTTAGTATTTAAGATCATTTCGCTTTTCATATTTTCAGGATGAACATGGAGTATAAATTTTTACTGTTACCCCGTCGATCTGCAGGGGAAAGAAATCCTGTCCCTCCTCCAAAATTGTTGCAGATGGAGGATATGCCGATGTGGAAAACCCTTCCTTACGATACAAAGTATCCTCTGCAAAAGGTAGCAAAGGAGGATGAAAAACCATTATCAAAGGAGATTGGAAAATCGGTCTGTATTCATAGAAGAAACATTTTCCTTTATCTTAACTGCTAAAAGAGTTGCTTTTAATTCCTCTACAAAAGATCCATGATAGCATCCTGTGAAATGAATCACTAACAAGCTTATCGTACTCTTCTTTCCAAAGCATATCCTTTTACTCAAAATTGTTAAAAGTATTTGGTACACCAAAATACTCATTTACACTTAAAAAGTTCTCCTTTAAAATATTTCCACAAACCCATAATCATTGCCAGAGTAAAAATTTCGAAAATCTAAAGTAGCATACGAATCCATGTTTTGTAAGGAAAGTATTATTCGTCATAAATTTGATTTAACTTTATAATCCAATGGAATTTCACACTGTAGTCTAGATCTATAAGTTACAAAACTCTACATTAAAAAAATGGTATGGAAATTTGATAAGAAAATAATAGTGTAAAAAAAAAAAAAAAAAAACTGAATTAATGAAATATTCAGTTTATTGAAAGGAAAAGGCAGTCAACGTATATTCTGCAGTATGTCTATTTTTAATGAAAAAGATGTAACGGTCATTAATGAAATTACTTAACAAGATCTCCAAAATAATCTGATTTTATTCGAAAATTTAAAAAAAAAAAAAAAAAAAATCTGAAAGGTTTCAGATTTTAAATAACGTCCAAAGGAGCATTTTTTTAACGTCTTGTGTGTTACCTTTGTTTAATAAATATCATGTTCTTTGCACTTAAAACATAAAATTCAGTTCAATAGCAGTGTCGCAAAATAATTTCAACTTCTCTGAAAGTTGCTGTGAAGAAAATTTAGTTATCGAATTTATCTAAATTTATAATCATTATAAATGTTATTTAAATATATAATATACTTAACATTCAATTGTAAACATAAATTTAAATTCTTTTGACAAACGCGTTTATAAAACTATTTAAGCAAGAATTGCTCGTATTGGAGAGCAATCTGTTAAAAGGTATTGTAAAACAAATTCTATGAGATTCATACTTAAAGGTAGTAAAGAAGAGTTTCTAGAATATGTATTGTTGAAATTAAGGGTAAAAAAAGTCTGATAAGTATGAAAAGAATTATTTCCTTACATTTTTATAATAACTCAGTTACAGGTTTTAAATAATATTTAAAAAAAAATCATTTTTTTATTCCCTGTCAGAAATATTCATTGGAAGTTAAACACATGGAAATCAGCACCAATATTTAACGTATTTTACTATTAAATTAAAAGGTGCTCTAATTTGAAATAAACCGAACCGAGCATTAATCATAAATTGACTGAGATTTTCGATTTAAAAGATGCCTCAGGAGCTAAAAAATCATCTCATATTTGAGAGGAAGAAGTTCTGTAAATAGAAAAGAAACAATGCGTAATTTTAATATTAAATAAAAAAAATCTGAATGTTTTCAGATTTTATATTACGCCCAGAGGGACTTTTTTTAATGTTTTGTGTGTTACCTTTATTTATTAAATATCATGTTCTTTGCACTTAAACCATAAAATTCAATTCAACAGTAATATCGCAAAATAATTTCAAAAATTAGCATATCTTTAGAATTTCCGAATTTAACATTTAAATTAAAATTTTAAATGTAATTGATTCATTTAAAATTTATTTAACTTTAATTTTGCTTTTTACAAATAGTTTGTTAAATTCAAATTTCATTCCTTGCAGCAATGGCGCAAGAGAATTATTTAAATTTAATTTACTATATTCATTTGAAACAATTTAGAATTTCCGATATACAGTCCAGTCTCGCGCGCTAGAGATAAAAATGTTTTTGTTTTCCGTACAGTGTTGCCATATTCGGTGGAAGATTACGTTATTCAGAATTTGATGGCTCTAGGTACCGTTGTTTTATCACAATGCGAGAAATATACATGCATTTATATAGACTCTTCCTTATTTAATTTTTTTAAATATAACACAGGGCGATAATATTTGGTGGCAACAATTTGAAAAGTGAACCGACATTTATAGTGAACCAACGCAAAATGCTAAAAGGAAATTAATATTCCTTCTGGGCTAACGCCATTTAGGCTAAAAAAAAATATGAAAGTTTTTTAGATTTTATATTACCCCCAAAGGAGCGTTTTTTAACGTTTTGTGTGTTAAGTTTATTTTTTCATAAACAAAATAGTATGAATTTAAATTTTCTTTAAAAAAAACCATAAGCTGTAATATGAAGAGTTTCTGTCCGTGTTTCAAGTCGTGACGATCTTAATACTTAAAAACTGTTAATCTAGCTCTAAGACTTAATTTTCAGTCAGGTCCGAAATTTATTATTTGTATTCTGAGATATTTCACGAGTAACACCAGTTATCTTAAAAACATACCGTATTACATCAACATTGCCCCATATTCAGCTTACAAAGAATTTTTTTATGATCATCTACATATTTCACTGAACTGAAACCCACTATTCAGTTTTATCATTTCACGATGCTGATATTAAATTTCAAATGTTTCACAACTTTGAGTTGAATTTCAAATATTTCACAACTTTGCGTTGCAAACGTAGTGATTTATTCGACTTTCTCCTGTGACACAAGCTGATCTTGAAAACTGATTTATTACACCCAGCTGCGTAGACAGAATAATAATAATAAAATAAATAAATAAATAAAAATTAAAAAAAAAAAAAACAGCGTAAATGTACCACAGAATTAAGCATAAATGATAAATTAAGCGGAATAAATAAATTAAAGGATAAAATTTATAATTCAGAAATGATTTAACCGTTGTTATCGATATTACCTCCTGCCTGCTAAAGATATGAAATATAACTCAGGTAGATTTACTAGTCCAAAGGGGTAATTTGCCTTGAAGGACTATTAATTTCTTTTTAGCATTTTGCGTCGAAAACTTTGTAAGGATCTTAAGTTTTACTAACGTTTATTTTATTTTAAATCTTTACTATCACTTCTTATTTTCTACTTCCGGCCGGAATTAAAAGCTTTAACTTATTTATGCGAATTTTTCTGGCGAACGCCAAGTACTTAAGTTGTGGCTTTTTGCCAAGCGAGAGAGAGGAAGGAGTTAGTCGAAGCAGGCCGCTTGCCTTAGCAGTTTTACTCGGTTGCTGGTTGCCTTCCAGGCCAGAGGTTTAATCCTCTTAATAATTTTTAAACGTATTGTAGTGTTAACAGTTCTCTGTACTACATACGGCTTCCTGTTAATATAAGGCTAATCTTCCACGTAGGCCCTTGTTTATTATTCAGAAGTTAAGTTAGAGTTTAGTTAAATATTTTTATATTCTTACGTTCAGACCACAAGTGGTTGGTCTCTGTATTCCGAAGTCCGGAAATTATTGTAAAGAGTGAAAAATAAAGGGTTTCGTATACCCTTCCTGTGTATCTTGTCTACTTCCCACATTTATTGAACATAGCTTTAGTAAGCTCTCTGTTCCGAGTCAGGTTCTTGAATTCCCCAAGCAAGTAAGGAGAAACACAGAACCTGATAACTTTAAAAACTATATCACTTTTCAAATCGTTGCCACCATATATTATCGCCCTGCCTTATATTAAAGAAATTAAATAATAATGAAGAATCTGCATAAATGTATCTACGTTTCTCGCATTGTGATAAAACAACGGTACCTAGAGCTATCAAAATTTGAATTACGTAATCTTCCATAGAATATGGGCATGCAGAAGCCCTAATTTTAATTTGATAATTGTTTTATTATCGATTTCAGATTTTGTAACACTTCAACGAATTTCTGGTTAAAACACTAAACGATTTCAAAGCGAATAATGGCAACACTGTGCGAAATCATTCAGGAGATAAAAATGTATGAAAAAAAAAATTTTATCTCGAGCGCGCAAGACTGTATCGGAAATTCTCAAGATATGCTCATTTTAAAATTATTTTGCGATATTGCTGTTGAACTGAATTTTATGGTTTTTTAAGTGCGAAGAACGTGATATTTAATAAATAAATGTAACACACAAAATGCTAAAAAAAAAACGCCCCTTTGAACTTAATTTAAAATCTGAAGGTCTTTCAGATTTTTTTTTTAAGTTATTTTAAAATATGCGTATCTACAATACGTTTTATGAATCAAATAGTATTAATTAATTTTTTAATGTATATTTTTTCCCGCAGTCTGCACGCTCTGTGAAAATATGGGTAAATGAATGGATTCACATACTATTTTTTTTTTATTTTGCCAAAGAAAGAAGTACCATGAAGACTTCATAAGCATAACTCAAACGTTTTGCTGAAAAAAAAATATCATTTGCGCACTTTTTTTAAACAAATAAGGAAATGCATGCCCGTGCATTCCCTTATTTAGCATCTACGTAAAATTGTACATTCAAATCTTGATGATTGCCACAGCTGGATAATTGTATCAGATTTGTGCATGTGTGTCTAACAAATATAGCAAATATAGAATAACAGAGTCTAACAAATGTAGAGTCTTCTGCAACGGTACTGAACTGTCCGCCAATCTGGGCAGATTGGAAGTAATTTGTCCTATCGATGAATCATGCGTCTTTCTCGGTGCTGATGACTGCTGCATACATGTAAAAAAGTTTAATAACGAGTTGTTCGATCTCACATTTGTCATCAAACAGTTTCTAGCCATCGCACATTGATGTGACAATCTCTAGAATCATAACCGATCTCGCGCTGAAAGGCATTCTGGCACACTGACGATATTACGTTACTGATCATTTTGTATGACGATCATTTGCTGGCTTTTATGCTATTTAGGTACGACGCAGGCTGTAATTAATGTCGCCAATTAATTGACTTGTCAGTTAATTAATAGTGTTACAGGAATTAATACATTCAGTTATATATCTTTGCAGCTGTGGAAAATAAACAGCTTTTCTTACTCTCTGCATTGTTTTTCTTATTCCGAGATAACCTGATAATGGCGCATCATGCAGTTCTTGTAAAATACTTAATCTTAAACTGGCTGAGATAACCGGTCATAATTTATTGTTTTTATTTGTTCCCTTTGAACAAAGCAGAAGGTTTCCAATTACTTTATAGCTCTCGGCCTTACTCCTAATTCCTGTTACGTCATATTGCACAAAGTTATTGTGAGCCTTCAAAAAAACATAAATATTTTTAAGTTCTGGGTTTGCTTCTAGTTTTAAAATGATTGTTTCTTGTGAATCTAAAATTTTTTAAGTGGGCATAGCAAATTTTATTTATTTTCCCTGGTCATTTTATTAATTTTCCCTGGTCAATTTTATTATTTTCCCTGGTTATATCTCTGGTCATCATTTATATCCCCTGGTCATCAGGCAGAAATTCTTGACCAGGCAGAATTTCCTTTCCCCGGGGTATGTCTAATTTTTAAATTATACACTTAATTAATATGTATTAATTATATTATTGGAATTATAAGTCTAGGCTATAAATCCTTCCCAGAATACAGATGTAATATGGCCGCATTGTCGGTGGACACAATAGGAGGTTCCTTGCAGAAATAAACTCTAGATTTCTGAGCAACCAACAGGACTGCTAGTGTTTCTCTCTCGATAGCCGTATAATTTCCCTGTGCTGAATTAATTATTTCGCCAAAGTACTATTTTCATATTACGCAAAAACATCAAGTGGTATCGAAAATGACTACTTGCCAACACACGCAACATAATATAACAATAAATAAGAACTTTTAATATTAACTTAGTTCACACCTCATAATCCATGATTCAATTTTTGCTAATTTACGTAGCATATGTGTGTAAGTAAACACTTCTTACAACTTATATATTGCATTAATTATTTAAACTGCAAAATTATAAATTTAATATCCATTTTTCCCTATTAAGCAGGAATAAGGAAAAAAAACATAACAACTATCTTTCGGTTACTATTTCCACTGTATGATATATGAAAATGTAATCATGAATCGTGATTGAAGTATAGGAAGTGCAACATACTTAAAACTTTAGATTTAATTCTAACTAAATGCTAAGTTTATACTTTAAAAATTTGTTATTGTGGAATAAAATCTAATTTCTTTAAGTTAATCGTTCGTTTTCTTTCCAAATATAAATCAAAAGCATGCTTAATTGATTTTTACGAAAGTAATAAAGAGGTAAAAGAGTGAAATTAAAATTCAGTATCTGATTATTCTGCTTTCTTGTTTATGGTTCATGCATGTAGAGTTGTTGTCAAAAAAACTTGTCTATTTTCCTCCATCAGCTTTACAATGAGTACCCCAATAAGGACTTCGATCTAAGAGTGGCCGAGAATCCTATCCTGCCATCTATCTCATATAACTCTTTGCATGACCCTCATTTGCAGCATTTCTTCCAATCAACTCTACGCTATAGAAATTTAGTCAAGAGAGGATTCGTATCAAAAGATGGTAAAGTCAGATTTCATTTGGCGCAGTTCAATCAGTATCGAATGTACCTGTACCACTTGTGGGTCATGCAAGTCAATCAGCTGCGTCGGAATCAGGTAAGTATGCATTCAATTTCTACTGAAGAGTAAAAGACCTTATACAATAAAGCTTCAAATATTGGAACTTATTGGGATTATAGTCCATCTACATCAGAGGTGCCCAACGGGCATCTTGATCTCCCTAGGGACCGATGATACTTTAAGGGGTTCATTTATTTATTTTAAAGGGCTCATTTATTTTAAAGGGAATGTGATAATCAGGACTCAGTGGGGATCTACAGCTGAATTATGCACCGGAAATGAACCAGCATGATGAAAAAAGAAATGTTACTAAAATTAGTAACATATAAATTAAATTAAAAAATTTTGGTGCAACTTTGGTAGACGGTTGCACGGAATTTTGGAGATTTACGTTGGCGCGGTCAGCCATCTTGAAAAACTCTGTTTTTACTTATTTTACTCATAGTAAAGTATTCGAAACTTTAAAAACATAAATATCGTTAAAAATAATGGATTAATTATTTGTTGAAAATGTCGTTTTTTAAGATGGCAGGCAAATGTAAATAAATACATTTACTATGAGTATAAAATACTTAAGTAAGGTTAAATTATTACTTTCATATAGCAAAGAAATATAATAAAAACACCGCTATAAAAACATTGCGCCAACGTTTAACTGAATTAAAATATTACTTAAATTGAAGGTGCTACTTTGGTAGACGGTTGCACGGATTTTGGCGATTTTTTGGCGATTTTTTTTGGCGAGCGATACGATTTATGGTAAACCCATTGCTGGACAAGTTATTTATGGTAAACGATACTTTGTTGTCATTTTATTTAAAAAATAATGCGTTTTATTATGCATAAATTCTGTGTTTTAAATATTATTTATGACTTCTAAATAATAAAAATGAATTTAATTTTGCATTTTTATTTGAAATAAAAATTTTATTATTTATGATATTTTATGGAATTTTATGTTGTGAATGATGTAATGAATGACGTCAGATTATTTTAAAAGTAAATGGTTTTAATATCTATAAATTTAATCGAATGTTTTAATTATTATTTATGGCTGTTAAATATTAAAATACAGTTTAATTTTGCATTTTTTAAATATGATTTTATTATGAATGATTATTTAAATAATTTTAATTCTATGCGTGATGTAATCAGCTTTCTGATTGGTTACTGAATATTTGTGCATTACCGCGCCATTTTAAAATTTTATTATTCATCTCTTCGAATTCCTCAGATTCCAAAGCGAATGGATGTGTCCGTTTCGAAGATGAATGTTGTTATTGGTAATTACCAAGAATTATTGGTATCGGAATAAAAAAATTGCCGTTTGAGACCTTATTTAGGCCACTCTGGCTTTCCTTATCAAAGATTTGTTTACAAATTGTTACAAGGGTCAGAGGAAATTTATTTTAAATTTTTGGAGGAAACCTCGCTAATTGCTACTTCAATGAAGGGCGAGAGATGTGGATCACAGATGAAGATAGTTTTTTTTTCTGATACATATCAATATACGACAGGTAAAATACTTTAAAAAATGTAAGTAGATATTTTCTTTTTACTTTATAATTGTATACATAATTTTTATTAAAAAATTAATACACTGTTTTAAAAAATTCCCGAGATATTTATTGCCACATATGTTTAATGTTAAATAATTATATCCTATAAAACTTATTTTAAAGGATTTGAATTTAAGTAATTGAAAAATTTTAATTCCTTTAAACGTTCGTATGATGTTTTTAATTTAATATTCAATTTAAGTAATATTTTATTCCAATTAAATGTTGGCGCAATGTTTTTATTCTATTATACGAAAGTAATAATTTAACCTTACTTTAGCATTTTATACTCTTAGTAAATGTATTTATTTACATTTGCCAGCCATCTTAATAAAAACAAGGTTTTCAACAAAAAATTAATTCATTTTTTTAACGATATTTACTTTTTTAAAGTTTCGAATACTTTATATGCGTGAAATACGTAAAAACAGCTTTTTTCAAGATGTCTGACGACTGTAAAAACCGCGTCAACAATTGCGCCAATGTAAATCGCCAAAAATCTGTGCAACAGTCTACCAAAGTAGCACCAAATTGAATATCGAATTAAAAACATCATACCAACTTTTAAACGAGTTAAAATATTACTTAAATTGAATATCGACTTAAAAACATTATTCCAACATTTAAAAGAATTAAAATATTACTTAAATTCAAATCCTTTAAAATAAGTTTTATAGGATAATTATTTAACATTAAAACATATGTGGGAATAAATATCTCGGCAATCTTTGAAAACATTGTATTAATTATTTTAATAAAAATTGAAGTATACAATTATAAAGTAAAAGAAAAATATATACTGTGTAAAATATGTGTGTAGTATGTGTAAGTATGTAAAATGGAAAATGAGAAACAGACTGAATATTTTTGAACGAGGTGATTTAGAAACTAAATTAAGCAATTTTGTACCTAACATTAAAAAAAAAGTATTGCATCAACATAACTCGCGCAGCTATCACATTAATTAAACATGAACTTTTGTGCAATTAAAATTTCTGATATGTTTCTGAAAACTTGTTTGTACTTTTAAAATTGAGGATGATGATGATAATAATAATAATATAAAAATAATTAAGCGTAAAATCTAATAAACCATTTTTTCGAAACTTTTGTTTATATTCTTGATCTAATTGTTATGGTTAGTTTATTGAGGTGTAATTATTTATATTGTTGCGAAATGTCCAGCTGCCGGTTTAGGGTTGCCAGAAAGTGATAGGGAAAGGCATGATTGCCAGATTTGGCGAGTAATTGCCCATTTGGCGTCAAAATTGGCGATATGTTATAGATGGAGCGAGAACATTCTAGAACGAATTCTCACCAGTTTTTCCCAGAATCAAAGACATTCAAATTCAAAACAATATTCTCAAAGACAGGTGAAAAGCTATACGCGGATCGCCCCTCTTCCCCCAATCTATGGATAAAACTTTTTTGTACAAGTTATACATTTTCTCGCGAATTCCATAAACGCGAAAAGTTTGTTTAGAAGTCTCCTTCTCCATATTCTGTCGTACGCTTCCTGAAAATCAAGAAAGACAGCCAAAGACTTTCTCCCTGAATTGAAACCGGTTTTAATTTTGTGAACCAACTTCAAAATTGAATTAATTGAATGGAATTAACAATTTTTTTTTAATTGCAAATAGTGTTTAACTGTTTTATCTGCAACCGCAAATCTTTTAAACTTGTTTTACCGTATTTCCGATTTTAGATTTTTCTGTATTTTACAATTTTTGATGAAGATGTTTTGAATTTTATGTATGTTGTCCTGCAGTGAAGTGAGAACTGAACTGAATGAGAAATATATCTCTTATGAAATTCGAGGAAATAAATTTAACTGCAGCAAAAAATGTATATAATTTAATGAGCCGTACAAGGATGTCCACATCAATGTTGTCCACATCAGGCGCACATTTGGTATCCACATCAGATATTTTCATTTTAGCTTCAAGTAAACTACTCGTTGTATCTTTGTTATTACATTCAATTTCCAAAACCGAATATTCAAAGTAATTTCGTTATTCTCTGAATGACGTTCAGGTATTTTTTATTGCTTGCATTTTAATAATGATTAAAAATTTCATTATTGATAACATGCAATTGAGACTAAAAAACAGAAACTAAAATGCAATTAAAAAAAAAGGTTTTCGTATAATACGTATTTATTTAAAATGAATGTGATAATTAATGCACTATAAACAGAAAAATAATTCCTCGTATACTTTAATGGAAGTAATAGAATAAATAATTCTATTTACAAAATCCATCTGATGTTGTATATCGCGAATAATAAATACAGAATTTGTGAATTTAATTGCATTGTCAAACTTATAAGCCATTATCATATTAAATTTATCATGGGCACCCCACATTTTTATTATTCGTGAAATAAAATTAGAGATAAAGTTTATAAATAAAATTATTTAATCTATCATTCCCATTAAACTATATTATTAATCATTTTTCTACTTTCAGTGGATGATTAGTTATCACATCCATTTTAAAGAAAAAGGTTTATGGTATAAAAATTTTTCTTTTTAAAATTATATTTCACTAAATGTTTCGGGAATTTAACAATAAGGTGGGTTAATCAAACTTTATTCGATGCGGTATTGAACTAAAACTTGTAGTTTTGCTGGGTCATATTTATAGGAATTAGTTAGTTGTTCCTGCTATGAAACGTTTGAACCTAACTTTTGTGTTAAGAATAAAGAGAGTGTTCACACATTTTATTTAATTTTAATTTAAGAGGAATCGTTTAATTAATGTTGAAAGTGTAAAGAGTATTATTTAGAGTTCGAACAAATAGTTCTGCATCGTGATTTGCATGACAGAAGGTCTTTTTGTAAAAATTCGTTAAAACATCTATTACTTCCTATTCCCTTCCACTAATTTCCAGAGCCTATATTCTGATGAGTTTGCGCTTAGAAAGAACTGTTTTCAAGAGACCCAAAGGCACAAATAGCCCATGGATGAAACGTCAGGGGACCTCTCAGGAATTTGTTGAAAAGTTTATATGCAATAACAGTACCAGTCTTAATTTTTTCAAGGAATGCAATGGTACTTTTCGGAGTATGACTTGCTTTTTTGTCTTGATGAAGTTACCCTCTTTGGAAGTCATTGAGATAAAGACATGGAATTTCTTCTGTAAATATCGTATGCATATTTTTCTCTTGATAATACGTTGGGTTGATTTTAATCTTTTCCGAGTTCTTATTTTTTAATTTCTCATTGGAAGAGAATCCTGCGGATTTGCATCCTTACTTTGCACTGATGGAACCAAATTTGTAATTTTTTTTTTCCTATTCGTTTTCGATAATCAATAAAATATTTTTTACGTAAACCATGATATAGACTTCATGAAGTGTCTCAATATATTTCTGTTAATCTCCTACTAAATAGTTTTCATGCAGTGTTCTACAAATTATTCAGCGTTGAGCTACATGCCTCGGCGAAAGCTGAACATTATGCTTTTTTTTATAAATATTGGTTTATAACTTTAATTATTGTTGCTACAGATGTATTTAAAGCCTTTGAAATTGATTTCTGAGTCAGCAGATTTTTACTTGTTAGCAATGTTTTAACTTTAGAAAGTAGTTCGTTTTAGTAGTTCGTGCCTTTTTCGGGTATTGATTTGGCGTTTTTTTCCCATGCAGACGTAATGACTGAAGGTTTCTCCCTTTCCGATTAATAATGTTTCTTATTTTGTACTTAGAAATTTTAATGGCAGACGTTTTACTACGTTTTTGAATTATGAAGTAGTAATCTCTCTTTGGGAAGCGCAAAAATTTATCCTTCAATCTGCAGCTTGTTTGCATGCGCCATTTTGAAAGAATAAATTTAAAAATAGTAGACGACATTTCTCATTTCACATAACAGGCTGCTGCGAATAATTTTTATTCCAAAACACTTTTTTTAATTCTTTATCAAAACCGTTCAAAAAATGTGTAAATGCTCTTTGTATTATCCAGAGCCACAATAAAATTTTATTTTTGTCTGATTATTTATTGCAGGTGTGCGAAGAAAAGAAGCGCGTGAAAAGTGTTCTAGAAGCGCACGATAGCAAGGATATACTCTGTGAGAAAGTGTTGAATAAATAGTAAGTACAGTCAAGGAAATGGGGATTTTATTGCTACTTTATAACATCTAAAGATGTCTAACTACGTACTTAACTTTGTTGCACTTCACGCCTAACCTTTAAATGTTAACTCGCGTAGTTGGTAAATTATCGCCTCTATTAATGTTTAATATGGACACAGCATACAAACATACAGCTCAAAGTGTAAAGCTTAATGTAATACTTGATTCCTCACAACTGGTACAATGGTACGGAAATAATACAAAATATTTGATTCAATTTCTTGTTGATAGCAGCCCGCTGTAAATCTATAATGTATTGGCTGACTTACAATTCGAGCAAGCTCAACGCGAAGCTCAACATTGTTTGGACCGGAAGGAGGTCAATTAACTTTTTACTTTTACCAAGCGTGACCAGCGTCAGGCGTTCAAAGCTTCTACTTGGATTTGGATGACTCACTAGGCAAGCCGTAGCACAGTCGTCATACTTCTACTCAGAAAATCACAGGTTACGATTTCCATCTATCTTTAACCTACGCCGCTTGCATTAAAATTTCCATAATCCTTTGAACTGAGCGAGAATGTGACGAAACAAGGCTTAGGTAGGAATCAACATAACTATTAGTGAAATATGAATAAAATATCACGCTTACGCTGTTAAGTGTGTAATTCTAAGCTAAGTAGTCTAAAATATCCTTCTACTGCATTTTACTTTATTGCTTATTATCAATTTATTCCTATTTATCAATTTTTATATAATTTTTTCATATAAGCCTTATCCGAACAACGGTACCATTTCTAGAAAACTTACAAGAGGAATCGTTTCATCTCCCACTTATTCATTTAAAAGGGATTTTGCTGTATCTGTTTTTATTTAGATTTTGGTAGGTTTCTTTCGATGAGGTTGCTAGGTATATTTTAATTTTATAACAGTTAGTTTAATTTAGTTAACCTTTCCTATCTTGCCTCGTTTCAACTTACAACTCCCTACCAGAATGAGGTTTTAGAATCGCGTTGAATGCAAATGAGTAAGAGATAGTATTAAAGGAAAGTTCAACTGACTTCGAGAGATAGAGAGAGAGTTAGGAATCCTGAGTAGCCCCCGTTTTCCTTTGGGCTACGTCTCTCTAAGCTGCTGTCACGCTCAGCTGTATTATTACGTACCTTTTGATAGTTCGCCGACTAGTTTAGATTCCGGCCCAACTACGTTAGAACTGTGTTGGCCTCGCCTAAATCTCTTAGTTAGTCATAGTTAATTCTTATTTCTTACCTTTGAGTTTAAGCCCAAGTGGAGAATTTGCTGTAAGCCCGAAGAAAGCGACCGACTATTAATCTTGAGTGAATAAGGGTAATTAACCCTTCTTGAGTTTACGATATCTGTCCTTCAAACTGAGCGATAATTCGCTTAACAGTTTACTAAATTCCTCGGCACTTCATTTAGCAGAATAAAAGTGAGGAATTCTACAAGGTGTATGTAAAATGCAACAGTTCTAATAACAATTATTTTGCTTACTTATATTATGTACACTCTGAATTAATGAAATTATTGCACATGGAAGAAACCGTTCATGACACGAATCTGCAAAAGGCGAGGCTGGGATTGCTGCAAAAAGAAAATAAAATGTAATTACGCCGAGGGCGAGAAAGCTGTGATATGAATTTCAAGTACCATACAAAGAGTTGTATGTACCGTATTTCGTAGTGTAGTTTTTCGCTACGTCAGGTTTTGAAAATTTAAAAAATATTCGCCTAATATTCTCCTTTCTCAATGCGTTCAGAAAACGAGCTACCCTAAATTTTATAATGGATCCGTCCACGTAGTGATTGTTATCATCTTCTTAACAAAGACAAAAACTCGCAAACTACCTGCGAATAAAAAAACACGCTAAATCTTTCTTGGAAATCGGAGATTATCACTTGTTAATCGAATCTACGACTTCCACACCTTTTGGTCCCATAAATTGCAGCTCCTAAAGCATTCAAAAGTGTGGAAAAACGGGAAAACACTGTATATTAAGGAATGCGCATGTAATATGGGGAAGAAAAAAACAAATTCCATCTTCTTTAATCTATCTATCAGAAGCGAAGCTCGAATCCGCTACAAACGAGTGCGACCCTGCGTTATACCGCTCGTCTGATCCTTCCAGTGCAGAAACAGATATCATTCAGGTTCTGAAAATTTAATCATCAACTGAATGGATTGAAATCTTACTGTTAACTTTTCAATAATGGTTTTAACTTTCTTAAGTTATAGCATATAAGTAAGTGAAATGATAAGCATAATTTGTTGAAGGATATTTAAAACATGTTGATCTTGCTATTTAAAACATCTTGATATTAATCTTGAAAAATTTCGAATATTGAGTTGAATTACTCATGGGTGCCTAGGTTTTTCTGAAGTATTCACTATAACTGGAACTAAAGATTAGAATTTTTAGCCATTTTTTAATTCAGAAGGGCCAGGAAATTTTCATTAGTCATACTGAGGGTGGATTTTTCTGTTTCATCTAGTTTCTGGATCTTTGCAAATCTTTTTCTTGGCACTTGGAGCAAACTTGATCTGAATTAACGTGATCTCCTACAATTTAGGTTAAAATAACATGCCGTATAATGATTATTGGAGAAGTCAAACAACAGGAATCAGCTTATATTTGTAAATTTTTCAGGACTAGTTTCGATGGTTTAACTACAGAAACATCAAAACTAGTCCTGTAAAATTTACAAATATAGCGCTGATTCTTGTTGTTGGATTTCTCCAATAACGTGATCTCGTTGACAAAATATGTATTTAGACTTTTCTTCTGGTTTTAAGTTATAATCCGAGCGTCTATGGTTTTTACCGCATTTACAGCATCTTTGTTCATTGAAACATCAATGCTGAGTGTGTGGATTTGATGAATAAGCGAAATCGAAACTGATCAGCCAGAGCATTTCATAAGTGAAATAAATGCTTATTTTGCTCTTAAAAGAAACATCATATTTAATTTTACAGTTTTCATTCTTGTTTGCAACATGTTACTTATTTTACATAAAAATATAACAAACTTTTAAGAAATAAAGCTTACGCAACGCTTATCAAGGAACGTTCGAAGTAACGACGTTTTCAGCTCGACTCGTTGTTGCCACACGGCGAATCTTAATAACTTTTCAAAACATTACATCATGTTGCCACTTAGGAAATATTAATAATTGTATAAAAACATTAAATTATGTTCCACTACAAGTGTGCCTTAAGCACTGGCACTGGTAGCACTGGGTGAGGAGTTTGGGTTTCTTTTGAAATGGTTTCGATAGTCACATTATAGCTGACAATATTGTTTACTTCTTCCCTTCTTTAGAATTATCGCGTCCTATGAAATGTGCTGGTAGTTTAATTATAGAATCGTCTGTTCTCCTTATTAACTGCTTAACTATAGAACTGGAAATTTTCTATCCTTGAGATTCTGAAAAATTGCTTCTTCGGAGAGGGATTTCGATTAGTTTTTAATAATTGCTTTAGTTGTTTCTCATTGTCCAGTTGGTAAATACGAAAATTAATTTTACTTTGTTACATGTAATTAACAATTTTCCCATTCCCAATTTTCCTATTAATTTCGTATACAGAAAGATATATTTGCCTCTCATCTGAGCTTCACATTCCTACTTGCACATTTTGCTTATAATTTGGAAGGAAAAGCCAACCAATGTCGTCCTGGAATATTACAATAGGCCGAATTTTACTGTTACTTTCATCTTCGAGTGAATTTGCTCAGCTGTTTCGGTAGCATTACTTAAATCTTGGTATAGTTTTTCAAACTGATTTTCTTGTGAAATTTCCTTTCATTATCATGGTCGGGTTGTTTGCACGTTTTATTTGGGATTTTCCAATTTTCATCAGGAGTTTTAGTTTCTTCAGGAACAGATTCTTTAGATTTTGTGGGTTCTTTACTTTCGGCAAATCTTTAGATTATGGCTTGGAGTAAAATGCAGAAGGGCAGTAAAATCAGCTTCTGGTTTCTTTTGATGCTCTTCAAGTAAGTACTTAAATTTATCAATTCTGACATCTTGTATTAATTCAGATGGTGAAGATCCTTCAATGAGGGTTTCTGAAGATGACGCTTTTTCTTCATTTTTTGACCTTTCTGGGGCTTCTGAGTCTGATCTTAGATTTTTAAAGAAATCAAATAGTGAACTTTTCTTAACGCTACACCTGATGGAATGCTCCGTATAATCCGATTCATCTATTGAATAGTAATAGTGCTGCATAAGCCATTTGCTCTGAATATCCGGAGATTAGGCCATGACGAGTAAGTAAAAGCTCATTTTTCAGAGGAGAATGACAGAAGTAGCAGAATGCGTGCATTACGGAATAACGCCAACCTTCAAATGACTGTATGAAATCTTTCTCTTCTAATTGCTGAACTTCATGCCAACCTAATACAAGAACTCACCAATCACAGCTAAGCAAACACGAAATGGCATCTAAAATTTCACTGAGCCAGCTTCACATTCACCTGCTGTAATTATTTATGGCTGATTTGAGATCTAAGGAGTAACAGAGACAACAATAAGAACACGAGAGATTCCAAGTTATGGGGATATAGAAATGAAGGCAGCTTATTAGATACTGTAATATTAATATTATTGTGTAGTCTTATTGGAATGTAAGTTTTTTTTAAAGAAATAATATTGGATAGGTTCCTGTACAGTTTATCTATGACTAACTTTTATTTACTATATTCTTATTATAACCTCTCCTCTGAAAATTAAATTATTCGCATAACTACCGCTCTCGATTTTCGAAAGATAAAATCATTTAAAAGCAAAAGAGAAAAAAAACGAGGTGATACGGTAAATATAATTAATACGTATATAATGAACATTTTGTAGGATATTCCTTTTTATTACCGGCTAAACGAAATCTATTGCCTGGGCCCAAGCTTATTCTTCCCTCCTCCCCCACGTAGATCCTTTATTTTAAACTAGTTTTCTGTTTGTGCAGAATTTGGCCTCCAGAATAGAAAAATCCCAGCGATTAGGTCTTTTACCATATTGAGCTTCGTCTTATGTACATTCCGTGGCATTTTTCTAATGCATGATGATAACATTTTAGAAACCTGAGCAGTTTTATGGAGAGAAACTATCAGGTTCAATGTTCCGCCTTACTTTCTTTGGGAACATGCAAGGACCTGACTCGGAACAGGGAGCTTAGTAAAGCTATGTTCAATAAATGTGGGAAGTAGACAAGATACACAGGAAGGGTATACGAAACCCTTTATTTTTCACTCTTTACAATAATTTCCGTACTTCGGAATACAGAGACCAACTACTTGTGGTCTGAACGTAAGAATATAAAAATATTTAACTAAACTCTAACTTAACTTTTGAATAATAAACAAGGGCCTACGTGGAAGATTAGCCTTATATTAACAGGAAGCCGTATGTAGTACAGAGAACTGTTAACACTACAATACGTTTAAAAATTATCACGAGGATTAAACCTCTGGCCTGGAAGGCAACCAGCAACCGAGTAAAACTGCTAAGGCAAGCGGTCTGCTTCGACTAACTCCTTCCTCTCTCACGCTTGGCAAAAAGCCACAACTTAAGTACTTGGTGTTCGCCAGACGAATTCGCATAAATAAGTTAAAGCTTTTAATTCTGGCCGGAAGTAGAAAATAAGAAGTGATAGTAAAGATTTAAAATAAAAATAAACGTTAGTAAAACTTAAGATCCTTACAAAACGAGAGAAAGCAGCTATGCCGTCGCACGAAATTCGAACCACGAATCTTCCAGACGTTAGCTCGATGTACACTATCTGTCTATCTTTAAATTTTGAACTCTCGCCAGTTCAAAGAAGAATACCCCGGGTAGATAATTTTAAATGCTGTGCTGAAATTGCCGAAACAAGTGATCAGCCATCCGGTCAGCATCTGTAGCCGTAAGGCTGACATCATTAACATTGGTTAAACCGCTCGACTGGAAATTTGGTTAAGCTCCTCAAAGAGGCCACAGGTCCTTTTTTAAACATATAAAGTAGTAGGTTAAGGAAGGGAAACATGCAAATGGAATGATGAATAAACATATGCAAATGGAACATAATATAAAATAACTAGAATAAATAATAACTTTAAATAATAACTAGAATAAATAACTAATATACTAATAACTAATATAATAAATGAATCAATAAACATATGCAAATGGATGGATGGAAAAAAGACTTGATATAATTTTCTCTTGCTCTTTATATATGTAGATAGGACATATTATAATCTTTATCTGCTCTTAAATATTTGAGAATTCATTTATACAATCATATACATTTATACATATACATTTATACATATCATACATTTATACATATCGATTATTTATAGTCATCGTGCCTTCGTTTCCAATAATATATTTCGTAATTTACTGAAGTGTAGACACATCTTGTATTTCAGAATAAATCTTTCCATGGAATTTTCGTTGCAAATCTTGGTACATGCTTTGCTCTAATAATTGAAAATAATGGACATTGCAAAATATAATAGCTAGCATTTGCTAGATGTGCTAGTGTTTTGAGCCCACATCTTACATTTCCTTTTAATAATCGCTGGAAATAAGATGGAAACTTTCCATGATTTGTTGCTAATTGTACAAGCAGGAAATTTATTTTTATTCTTTTTAGGGATACTTGTGGGAGGTATTCGTGATTTAATCTTCCTATACCTGCCTTGTTCAATATTTTTTGTCATTTTATTAAAACGTGTTTAAAAATTTTATTCTCGATAGGAAATCTTGAAATAGGAAGATGGATATCAATCATATCTACCACCATGAACCACCATGAACATACCACCATGAACGTCTGCAAGTGAGAATGAAATAATCTCATACAATTTAATAGAGGGCATGAAAAGACGATGCAGAAATCTAGCTTTACAATAATAATTTTTAAAATCCTCTTTTATATTTTAAAAAATTTTTAGTCAATATTTTCGTTAAGATCAACAATTTCTTCATTAAGATATACTTTTAAATTTCTTTTTTTTTTTTTTTTTTTCTTTTTTTAGTGGATGGAAGTAATTTCTTTGTTTATAGCGACGATCACACATTTTATTCCTTTGTTAATTTTCTATTCCACAGCCGTTAACGTTTTTTTTTTCTTTTAAATTACGTTTGTAATACCCTCATTCAATTCACTTCACTAAAGCCATCATTTATTATTTATTATTATTATTTTTTTACTTCGATTGCATTTACAACTATAGTAATCACTGAAGTTTCATTTCTTTTTGTCGTAGAAGCGGCAATAAAACATTTCATTTCCTCTGTTATATTAGGAGTCGAGTCTTTGCAAGGCCAGTCCGTTCCTTTTTCACCCGTGACTAACATTTATATTCGTCTCTTGACTGTTATCTTTTGTTGTGATTTCTTAATTTTTAACCACATGCATTCAAGTATATTCCTCTCTGATCCCGAAGCATTGATATTTGTTGCGTCTCAGATAACAACCAAGAAAGCAGTGTCGAAGAACTGACTGAAATGAACATTAAGTATCGGTCCAACTTTCGAATACCGGCGAACAGGCAGGCTCCATGGGTGTTTTCGTGATTTTACGCATGTGTATACTGTATGGAGTATCTTCTGGATGCATATGTGAATAAAGCGGGCGCAGCCCGCGCAAAGCCGCATAACACTGATAGTTTGGTCGAACTTTCGAATCCTGGCAAACGGGCTGGCTGCATGAGTGTTTTCTTTATTTTCTGCATGTCAAATGCGTATGCAGTATCTTCTGCATGCAGACGCTAATAAAGCGGGCGCAGACCGCGCAAAACCGCTGAAACCTGGTAGTTCGGTCCAACATTCGAATCCCGGCAACCTGGATGACTGCATGCGTGTTTTCGTGATTTTCCGCATGTGTAACGTGTATGCAGTGTCTTTTAGATGCATACGCGAATAAAGCGGGTAAAATAGCTGAACACTGGTAATTCGGTCCAACTTTCGAATAAAGGCCAACGGCCTGGCTGTATGGGTGTTTTCGTGATTTTCCGCATGTGTATCGTGTATGCAGTATATTTTGGATGCATAATTTAATAAAGCGGGCGCTGCCCGCGCAAAACGGCTGGACAATGTTAATTCGTTCCAACTTTCGAATCCCGAAAATTTGCGGGCTGGCTGCATGGGTGTTTTCGTGATTTTACGCATGTGTATCGTGTATGCAGTATATTCTGGATGCAAACTTTAATAAAGCGGGCGCAGCCCGCACAAAACCGCTGGACACCGGTAGTTCGTTCCAACTTTCGAATACCAGCGAAATTACATTAGGAACTCTTATACACACGAACAATGAATAGCGGCAAAGGCGCTGAACACTGGTGGTTCGGACCAAATTTAAAATCACCGTGAGCGGGCTGGCTGCATGGGTGTTTTCGTGATTTCCCACATATGCATAATGTATGCAGTATCTTCTGGATGCATAACTGAATAAACCGGGCGCAGCCCCCGCAAAACCGCTGAACACTGGTAGTTGGATCCAACTTTCGAATCCCGGCGAGCGGGCTGCCTACATCGGTGTTTTCGTGATTTTCTGCATGTGTAACGTGTATGCAGTGACTTCTGGATGCATATGTGAATAAAGCGGGGGCAGCCCGCGCAAAAACGATGAACACTGGTAGTTCGGTCTAACTTTCGATCCCGGCGATAGGGCTGACTCCATGGGTGTTTTCTTGATTTTACGTATGTGTATCGTTTATGCACTATCTTCTGCATGCATACGTAAATAAGGCGGGCACAGCACGCGCAAAATCGCTTAAAAATTGTATTTCGGTCCAACTTTCGAATCCCGGACAGCGGGCTGGCTGGAGGGGTGATTTCGTGATTTTACGCATGTGTACGGTGTATGCAGTATCTTTTGCATGCACACGTGAACACTGTTTTGCGCGGGCGCAGCCCGCCCAAAAGCGCTGAACACTGGTATTTCGGACCAACTTTCGAATACCCGCGAAAGGGATGGCAGCATGGGTGTTTTTCGTGATTCTCCGCATGTGTATCGTGTATGCGGTAACTTCTGGATGCATAGGTGAAAAAAGCGGGGGGAAGCCCGCGGAATGCCGCTAAAAAATGGTAGTTCGGTTCAACTTTTCAATACCGGCCAAATTTAACGTAGGATATCTTTTAAAAAAGAACAATGATAAGCGGGCTTCAGCCCGCTCAGCTGGCGGGCTTGTCCGCTAGTAAGTAATTAAAATCCGCATGACTAAGAATCTCAGAGTGCTCAGAGAAACATATTCTAATCTAACTGGTATAAGGGCGCTGACAATTTATATACTCAACGGAAAATGTTTTCTTATATTTGTTTGATAAAATAGAGAACAGGCTTTGTGAAATGCTTTAGGATTTTACTTTTAGGAGAAGTGAAAAAAATTACTAAATAAACTTAACATTTTAATTACTGTTTTTCAGTGATCGCATCGATATAGAAGCTGTACTAGAAGAATTATCAGCCAGAATTCTTCAAGAATATGGTTTCTCGCCGTTGGCTCGGTCTCTATTCAGATGGAAGTGTTACCAGGATAAATTAAGAAAAGTAAAATCTTTCAGAAAATATCTAAAATATTTTTATTTTCCTTCCGAAATAAAAAAAGTATATTAAAAGCTTAAAAAGCGCTTTTTTCACATATTTGAGTTTTACAGCTAGTTTTTTATGCGCTTATTTAGTCTAATATTCTAAAAGGTTTTAGATGTCGATAGGTTGAGTTACGTTTTCAACAGATGTTCCGTACGTAATATAACACAAATTTGAGAGTATAAAGCATTCATTTGACTTATAAGATGTTATTCGTAGGACACATTACCAACAATGTTCTTCGTTTGCTTAAATGCATTCCTGCGAGCAATGAGATTGTTGATGTCTCTTTAGAAGAGGGCACAGGACCTTTAAATCTTCAAAAAAATCGATTTTCAGATTTTTACATTTTATGAATATATAAACATTTCTGAACAAAATGCAAAATCCGCGTTATAAAATTCGCATTATTTCTTGAGTTATGAAAGTTTATATCGTATAGTAAATCAGCGACGCTCGTTTAAAGGGACAAATATGTTGGTTGTTTACGTTTTGGTTACCCTGTATACGAGCTCATATTTTTATTATTATGCAAAGAAATATTTAATACTGTTTTTTTTTTTTTTTTTTTTTTAATTTCCTTTTTGTGTAGGGGAAGAAGGACGGCAACTACTCAACTTCACTGCTGGTAGTTTGTTTACATGATAATTCTTATTACCACGCTGCTAAATCTAACGTCGTTTGAGTGTTTCTATTTCGGTCTTTCATATCAAGTTTGTTTTACTGAGTAAACGTTTATGTAAAGATATTTGTTTTGGAATTTAAAAATGAATAATAATATCAAAAGTTTGTATCTTCAAAGAGCTTCAGGTCAAAGACCGAAGAAAAGGAAAAGCAATAATTTTTGTGGAAATCAGTAGACAAGAATTAATGATAAAGATGCAAATGTCTCTGCATCAGCATAAAAACTTCTAGATCATTTAGTAGTATCAGGTGACGGCGAATTTGAAGGGTATACAATCATTGATAAAAGTTTATTATTTTCTGGATTAGAAGAATACTTATGCTGTCATATTTGTCACAATAAAATTAGTATTACTTCTGAAGTAGTATATGGTTTAACCATAAAAATAAATATTTCATGCTGCTCTTGTGGAGTACTAACATCTATAAGAAATTCCAAGCTTGTAGGTGAAAAACAAAATGCTTCTGATTTAAACAGAAGATTTACTTTAGCAATGAGGTATATTGGAAAAGGATTGACAGAATCCAGAACATTTTGTGGAATTATGGATCTACCACCACCTGTAACACAGAAGTCATACGACAAAATTGTAAGTCATATGCATGCTGCTACACGTAATATTATGGAAAATAGTATGAAGATAGCAGCTGACAAAGAAATAAAAATGACTGGTTCTTCAGATTTGACCGTCAGCGGAGATGGCACATGGAAAACCAGAGGACATTCTTCACGTTTCGGTGTAACTTCCATTATTGGTGGTGAAACGGGTAAAGTTATTGATCGTTATGTTTCAAGTTCCTACTGCAAAGGTTGTGAGACTGGAAAAAATATATCCTCAAAGGAAAGCTATTTGAAATGGAAAATGGAACTTAACAAAGTATGCAGTAAGAATCATTTAGGTTCACCTGCACAAATGGAAGTGAATGGTATGTTAAATATGTTTTCGCGATCCGAAGAAAAGTATAATGCTCGTTACGTTAATTATATAGGTGATGGAAATTGTAAAACTTTCTTACCCCTTACGAAGGATAGCCCGTATAATGTTCCGATTTCGAAGATAGAATGTGTAGGCCACATTCAAAAATGAATGGGTGCCCATTTGAGAAAATTAAAACAGGAATTCCGTGGCAAGAAACTGTATGACAAGAAACGTCTTAGCGGTAAAGGTCGACTTACGGATGTTCTAAAAGATCAAATTACATCATATTATGGTAATGCCATTAGGAAGCATTCTGACAATTACCATGATATGCAAAAAGCGATATGTGCTATTTGGTACCATAAACTTTCAAATGATAATGAAATAACTCATGACTTTTGTCCCGACGGTGTTGATTCTTGGTGCGCATACAAAAGAGCAGTTGTAAATGGCACAAATGAAAACTTTAAACACAAAAATTCAGTTCCTATTGCAGTTATGGATGCTATAAAACCTGTATTTAAAGATTTGTCCCATCCAGACTTGCTAAAGAGATGCACTGGTGGTCGAACGCAAAATATGAACGAGTCACTAAATTCATTGATCTGGACGTTTTGTCCGAAAACAACAAATAACAGTAGGAAAATTGTAGAAATTTCTGCAAATTTAGCAGTAGCCAACTTTAAATGATGGAAAACAGGCAACGCTGTTCGTCATGAAAGAACTAGAATGTATACCTGGAGCTAACTGTGTAGCATTTGCGGCAGAAGCAAATAGAATTCGTATTAAATTCGCACAGAAGCGAGCCCAGGGCAATACTTTAGAGGCTCGAATTACTAGAAGAAGGGAAAAAAAGGAAGCTGATGAGCTTCATAAACAAAATGAAGGAGTAGAGAAATATACATTAGAGAAAAGTGATGTTGTATCTTTAAATTCGATTTTCTCAAATTGATAATTTTCAAGTTTCCGCGCAGTCTTATTATCAAACCATATATGCTACGCCTATAAAAATTTAAGTGTGCATGCTACTGTTGTTACTCTGCATGCTAAAACCAAAAAATTTACATATGTCAATATATATACATATATTTACCTTCAAAAAGTGATAAAAAATTACAATTTTTAAATTTTAAAAATGTTTTCTTAATTTTTCAAATTTAAGATTTGATTTTTTTTATATATTTTGGTTTTACATTAGAGGTTAATGTATTTCAAATACATTTTTACCAAAAATTGTTTTCTATATGCAATATTTTGAAATTTATGATGCGCGCAACATTTGACAATTTTTATTTACATGTCTCTTATTTACATTTAAAAATTTTTAATTTACAAATTATTTATTTATTTACAATGTTCATTTCATTTATTTATTTCATTTCCAAATCTGTTTAAGGTATAAAGTAAAAGAAAAGTATAACTTTTTAATTATATAATATGAGTTTTTGAGTTTGAGTATTTTTATGATCGTTTCGACGAGCCCAAAGGTCCTGTGCCCCCTTAATTGATGAGAAGCTGGAAGGAATAAACAAAATTATTTTGAAAGTAAGTACAATAAGTAGGACACACAGTACAATAATAGTTGGAAATAACTCAAAGAGAACGCGGATATGGGGCGCCAGTTAAGCTCGCTACGCCACTGCTGCCGGAAGTACTGTAAAGCAGAGACAGAATAATAGTTGCTAGATATCTTACCGAATTAAGCTACAACTTGAAATATGATCATTGATCACAGATTTTGTTAAAGGTGAATTGCAGTTTGAAAGTTTCATCTGCATCAAAATCTTCTCAGTGTGAAAACGGAGACCTTTTCGCAAATGTAGTTAACCCCTTCAGAGTATTATTTAGTTGCGGGAATAATTGCTAGCCGAATATCTTTTTGTAATCTATCTTTCTGATATGCAAGGATATCTTATTTTTGATACCATCTATTATGTGCTCTTTGTTTATGCAAACCGCCTGACTGAGCAAGTGGAATGGAGGAGAAAACTGGAAAATTAACAGCCAAGATCAGTAAAATACTTTCTTAGGATAATTTAGGAACCTTGATTAACAGCAACTCCAAGCAGTAGCAGTTACAGTTACCTCTAAATTATCTGGAAGCATATTAACCAGCCATGTCTGTAAAAATTTGGTAAGCTTAGTTATTGCAAAATAATGGGAAAATTACTATCACAAACTATGCGTGTAAAATAAAAACTATCAACATAAAATACGAAAAGGAAAAGAAAATACATAGGCTAACAGCAATGACGGCGAATGATAGCACAACATTTAAGAGCTTTTTAATCCACAATATATGTAATGTAATTGTACGTAATCCGGAATATACAAATATAGATATATCATTCATTGAAAGTAAATTGTCCATCTTAAATTTAAATCAAGTGTACAGGTATTCATTTTGTTTCACTTTGGTTGCTATTCGAGTAACCAAAATTGAGCCTAAGAAACAGAAAGAGAAAAAGAGTGTGCTTGTACTTGAGAATGAGAGAGAGAGAGAAAATAAAATACAGTACATTGGACTGAATGCTGATTTAATCTGAGCACTGGTTTAATTTACGCACACAGCTGAATTTATTCTGGAGACTAAATTATAGATAAATTGTAAATAATATTTTTCTTTTAATTGTAATGTGGGTCATTTCTTTAACTTTATTTTTAATTTCACGCGATTAACTGTGATTTTGTGTTAACTTTTGACTTCAGCCCTGGTATTACCCCTGTTAATTGGGAGTTTATCATATTAAAACTAAATCACATTGCTGAAGATAGCTTCGGAATCTTCCAAAATTCATCAACAAATATCGTAAATTTGATCCTAAGGAAGGTATTGTCTGAAAAATATGCGAAGCAATAAACAATTGTTCTAGAAACAGTCTCTGAACTATTTTAAAGGGTAGATTTTTCTCGCAGTATTTTACAACGAAACTAAATACTGTTTTCAACGTGGTGCTACAGAAAACTTAGCCAATCAGAATCAAAATCAAGGATAACTGGAAACCCTCGACGGTAATCTATTTAGGCAAACGAAATTTCTAAGAATGTTGCAACTAACTTGATGTTGTTCCAACTGTTGCTTGAGTCGTATAGCAGTTTAAAAGTATAGGAGTTTTGCTGAAGTAAAGTACTTCGGAGTACACGCAATAGAACTGCAAGTTCACTCATTAAGCAAAGATTTAAAATCATTGACTACTTGTTGATCTGTCTACAGAGTTACAGTCTGCAAACAGATGAAAATGACTGCAAGACTTTCTGACACAAACTAGCTCGTATTTACCCGAATTCATTTACAATTAATTTTTTAAGTATTAGGCAAGCACAATTTATTAACAGCAAAGAAAAAGTGACATTATAAAGAAAGTTAGTTCTGTGAGCGAACTTTTAGATATTGTACCGAAATTGCTGTTCCAAAATACCAGAAAAGGTCAAGAAGTTCAAGTCCCTCTGTCTCGCAAAAGTAATTAAAAAAAATTAAAAGAAATTGACTCCACTGGATGTGGATGATAGAAACGTATCATAAATGAAGAAATCGGAGTTTTATGATTTATCCTAAACTCAGTGGTGCTCCTCTGTATAATTATTTAACTTTTCTCAATTCCGCTGCAATTTCTGGCAAAGCCTAACGAAAAACTCAACGTGAAAATCAATACTGTCGCTGTTTATAGACAAAGAAGGTAGCAACATTTCTGGACCATCATAGTTTTTACTAAACTGTAAATGATTTCGTTTATTTAAATCATCACATTATAAAAAGTTTGATTTCTTCTCAAACAGCATCATCAAAACGAAGATACTTTGTTTTGATTGGATTTTGAGCTCAGCCATTCTACGTAAAATGTTCTCAATTATAACTGAATTGAACAACCGGATTTTTTTTTTTTTTTTTTTGTCTAAATGAGCTAGCTTTCAATGTATCCTAAGCTAGTAGTATCAAAACATTAAAAATTTTTATTAAAAACAAATACTTCAATGGAAAAAAGAACCTAAACGTTTGACTAAGTCAAAGACAATTTACCTTCGATTATTAGAATCAGTGTCTAAAAAATAGTAAAAACGTGGATGAGGATAGAATCTGAGCAAATCTTTGAAAGGCCAGAAATGAATTTTCGCAGCACTTAAATTGAAACATCGAAAAAAAAAATAATTGAATGATATTCTGATATTAAGTTTTAATTTCAGATTAATGTTCTTTAGCAAATTTATTTTACTTGGATGGCTGTGATCTTTAATACTAAATATTTTGTTAGCATTACCATCATGATAAATATTTTAAAATTGCTCTTTCTTTAGAAAATAATTGGCTTCTTTAAATACTACGTACCGTATACATAAAATTAAAATTAAAATCTGCTGTGATTTTGTTCGAACAATTATGAAAAAAAAAAATTAAGTTTTTGAAAGTTTTACTGGCTATAATAACGGTTGTGGGTGTTTCAAAATTGAAGTTTAATTTTTCCGACTGAATCGTGCATAAATGGACATTTTTCGGAATAGAACGTAACGTATTTCATTTGAAATAATTTTTTATTTTGTGTATTTAATTTTTATTTCCTTGTGTTTCATTCTAAATTATGAAATTTTTTTTTCCAGAATTATAAAGAAAGCTATCCTGTAATGAAACAATGGCTAAGTGCGCAAACGAAGAATTACAGACTTTTGTTGGAATCAAAGTTAAATGCGCGAAGGAACAAAGATAGAAAAGTTTGTTAATTATATCTTTTCGTTTTCTGGAATAAATATTGTAATAATGAATACTGACAGAAAATATGCTTCGAACATAGGAAACACGATGTACCGCAGTCCTATTAATCTATTAAATTAAGAAATATGTTTGTGAGCTTAGAACTGTGTTTCATTACATTTTAAGTAACCATGTCAGTCTGTCCATTACAGTTTAAGTAATGGTCATTAATCCTTAAGTACGTTATCACTGTCCATTTAAAGTAAATTTACACAATTTAGATGTTCCCAGAAGGGAGCGCTATGCTACGTAGAATGCGAAAAATGAGAGATGAATAGCATTGGAAATGATATTTAATAACTTCGCCCTTGGATGGATACCATGAACAATTTTACATGTAAACCATTTCTTACAAGTAAATAAATCTATATGTATTTCTTTCATTTTTGTTAATACTGTGGATTAAAGCATGTTTAGCAAGCCAAGCTAGCGAGTGGAAGATCCTTGGTTTCGGTCATCGGCGAAGGCATATTTGATTTTTCGCATTTTTCACTCTGAAATGTCTATAAAGTTCTCTGTCATGGCGACCAAACCAAATGTGGTGAACGGAAATTCGACACCATCTAGATTGGGTCAGCTGGATCTCATGGGTGTACCCAATTGCTCTTTAAGTAGGGAAGAGTATAGGGAATTACTGTATTTGCCCTGTGCGTCCTCTCGTGGTGTAAGAGAGCACAATCAGCTAGAAAATGGAAGATCCATAATTTGCATCTCAGCCAGACACCTCCATGAATATCAAATAATCTAACGGGCATTATGAGTCATATTTATCATTTCTGCGAGTGGCATGCGCTATTTAGCGCTTAGAAATAAGTATGAAATATAGTACAGTAGAGAAGTATTTTAATAATGAAGTTACAAATTGAATATTATTACCGTGCTTCCCTGTTAGAATTACCGCTCGATATACCGTGGTTTCGAATATTATTTTTAACTAACACCGCAGATAATCTTTACTGATAAATCATATTATACTTTAAAAGAGACTTTTTGGACGATCCTTAAAATCTGAAACCTTTCAGACTCCCCCAACTGCAATCAATATGCCAGCATGGTTCAAGAACACAATTAAGAATAAATATGCGCTCAGCCGCATTAGAGACTGCACTACCATTGCTAAAAGCATTGCTGACAACCTGGAGTGACTCTTTTCCTTGGACACCGTGCCGTCAGCAGCCTGCTCTGTACATATATTGATTTACTTAATATTTTGTGGGTTTTTTTTTTTTCTGTTTTTAATTATATTTAATATTATGATTAATCCAGAACTCATTTAATGTATTCCACAATTTGTAGTGTATTTGGTCATCTTTACATCTGTACCTGATTTTTATAGCACATCCTTAATATAACTGTATGCCTAACATGTACGATAATAGTGAAAAGTGTTTCGCTTACTCTTTGCATTTCCCACCATGCACCTTCTTTCCATGTTCTGGTCCTTACTTCAATGTTCCTCGTTTCGTGGCCAATCCCCGGAGGACACAGTACTAAGCTCTTTATTTATATTTATTCATGTATTTTTTTTAATTCCATCGACGGGATCCAACAGGCTGAAAAGCACCTAACCCAGTGGGCCAGCTGTTCCGTCGATGGTGAAAAGAAAGAAAGACCCCCCCCCTTTTTAAAAGTAAATTTTTACCTTCGCAATTTTATCGTCTGCTAATTTATTTAACTTAATTTTATACGGAACAAAATTTATTTGTACATTTAAAAATAACGTAACACATATTTCCCACAGTATTTAAAACTTCAAATTATACGCCAAAAATACTGTAAACAAAACATGCTACCTTCTACTAAAAAAATGTTTAACAGCGGCAAAATTTATTAGAATATAATAATGCAAGCTATTGTCATTACAATATACGCAAGCTATTGTCATTGGTTTCTCACTGCTTTCAGAAATATGATTATTAGGAATCCATAGCCAGTTAAAATGTATACTTACCAATATAGCACTATTTTCCTTAATTCTGGAGTCAGCAAATGACTTCATAGATGAAAATGCTAAAGATTAAACCAAGATTTATCTGGCTAAAAAATTAAAAAGCTTCATTTCACAACTGGAAGAAAAGTAACAAGCTCTTAAAATTCGTAAATATTTGATCAATGCTAAATTGGCATTTATTAGCCTTTCCTTTTTGGTATTAAATATGAAGTGTTTATTAATTCAGCAAAGAACATAAATAGTAACAATCCTTCAAAATTTGTTTGATTCTATTTGTGCAACAATAAAAATTGTTTCTTCTTCGTAACACAATAATTTCTAAATATTCCTGGCCATACACTTGAAGTTCTACTTTACACCAAAACTTTCTATATACTTTCGATATCTTCAATAACTTAAGGGGAAAAGGTAATGAATATATCTAGAACATTCTAAAATCATTTTGAGGACTATTGAATATGTGATCTGTCTGGAAAGTATCCATGCGCTTTGAAAGTCTCGAAAGCACAGCCTCCAAGTAATTGGAAAGAACTAGAATTGATTCTATTGTGCTAGTGAATGATTGAAGATAATACAGTGAGAGAAGTCTAGGTAAAATTTTAGAACAGCGCAGTTCGCGATTCACTGATCTGCTCGCTCAGTCTATCTAACGGTGATATTACAACTCAAATAACAGCACCTAGCTTCTGATTGATTAATCACAAGGCAGAGTGATTGTTCATACGTGCAAGAAACCGCATTAAAACGTTTTTCACCCACATACTTTTAGGAAGATTTGAAAAAAATTCCCTTACCAGTTCTGCCATTCATATGTCTCTTTTTCTCACGTACGCAAAAAATAAAAAATTAAAAAAAAAAAAAAAAAAAAAAAAAAAAAAAAAAAAACATTCAGACTGCATATTGCGATCAAATTTCATCAGTCATCTATATATCTAATCTTTTCTCATTATCTTCATGCAAAACAGCAGCTAAAACCTGTTTTCTTTTGATTAATCCTAAAGAAAGCTCTACTAAATTGTAGGTTGTCTCAAATTTTCTTGCTATGTGCTTAAGTCGCTGATACTTCGCTAGCAGTTTCTGAAATATTCAAAGCACCTGGATATTTTGTGAGTAAACGTAGCATTTAGCATTTGAAACAATTCCATCTTTTTTTTTTTTTTTTTTTTTTTCTTTTTAGTTACGGATCCGGCTAGAAAAGCTACGTGAAAGCAGCAAAGCACGTTTGAATCGAGTGACCTATCTACGTCAGCTGCAAGAAGATAGCAGGCGCATCCTTAAAGAAGAAAGACATAAGTATTTCGCAAAAATTTGGGCTAAAAACAATCGTTAGTCACTCGCAATCATTTTCTTATTTCCTTAAAATAGTTCAGCTTTGTTATTATAACTTAGCAATGTAGTCCCTTGAGTAAACCATTTACAAAACCACATGTGGCTTAAAAAATGTTTGATAATTAATTATTAAGTAACGGATCATTCATAATCCAAATAATCCAGTCTACCCTTATTCAAATTGATTCGGAGACGATCAAAATAGATATTTCTGTTGAAATATGATATCCGAATTTTTTCGCTATTAACAATACTTCCTTCACTTCGCAGAAGGAAGTAAAAATATTTATTTATCCTATTGCTTCTGCCCAATAGTTTTTCTTGCTTCTAATTTCGAGAATTCTTATTTTATAGTGTTCGCTTTTTTACAGTATTATTTGTTTAGGGTCATGTCGAAGCAAATTATTTCTTGACTATTTTAATTTTTTATACTTCATTTTATTTTGTTCTCTATTGTTATTATAAAAATATTGGTGTTACATTATTATTAATTTGTTTTTTATTTGGCACTTGCTTTTGAATTATTTCATGAATTTATATTCATCCAAATAAATATAATTCAGAAGAAACATGGTTCTGTTGAAGATTCTTTGACTTCTCCTAAAAAAAAATTTTCATTCATTTTATTATTTTAAGCTAACAATTTTTTTTTTATTTCAGTTTTGATGTATGTTCTTCCTGTTAGGCTGTTAACCACCAATTTTTAATTTAATTATTATTTCTTGATTATGTAATTAATTTTTGCAGCTTACTGCATTACTTTAATAATTTAGAATCTTATTTCTGAATTTTTTTAAAATCTTGTTTATACATATAGTCAGAACATATTCAGAGAATAGATCTTTGGAACTGATGGTCAAAGCCAAACATTGCATTTCCAGCCAGCTTAAGTTCTTCCTCTTCTAAAGTTACTATATCTTTAATTATAGCATGCTTGAATTTTGTCGCATTCTTCAAATTTGCGAGGGGGAAAATAACATAGATACTTCTTTTTTAATAAATTGTTTCATGAGCAACATAAAAGAACTTGTTCTAAACTAATTCACTAATTTCACAAAAGCTTTAAAATTCTTCTGTTCATTTTCTATAAACTTATAGCCAATACCTTTAAACTGTTTAGTTATTCAACTGCAAAATAAAATGAATTATTCTAATTCATACTTCCGGTAAAAACTTCCGCTAAATTCTGTATATGGTTTTTATAGATGCAAGAAAGAAGAGTTTACTCTTTAATAGTTGACAAAAGTTCATTGCTTATTTCGTGATGATTTCTATTAAAAATAGAGATTCAGTGTTAGCCTTTCTTTAAACAAAATCAACGCACAAACGAAAAGTGAATTTTTGCCTATTTTAATGCTTTTTATGTTTAAATGTAGAACCAGATAGAGAAGGATTATATTTGTAACAATTTCAGACCCACCTTTTTATTTCATCACTTTTTCTGAAAGCAATTATACCGTTAATAATAATGTGAAATTCATTTTTAATATGATAAGTTACAACTGAATATACCTTTACAACAACTCTCGAAGACTTCATGATAAATTTCGAAAAAAAAAAAAAAAAAAAAAAAGGCGGGGGGAATTTTTCGAAACTTAATTCAGAATCGTTGGTGAGAGAAAATTTATTTCAATAATTTTTAAATTTCGTGAACATGATCTACAAGTTTTTAATACACAAATTGTATACAGGCTTAAAATACCATATTTTGAACGAACTGTATTAATGCATAAATTTTCTATAATGCCTTCTTAATGACGGAATCATTTTTCCTTCAGAATGTCTAGATATTTATAATTTTAGTTAACTGCCAGACATTATTTCATTGCTTTACATCTTCTTGATTACTAAATAACTTCTCGTCTTCTCAGGTAAAATGCATTTGAAAAAGAGGAAGCCAGTTACTAAAGTCGACAAAAAGTCGACTATTTCAGAAGACACTTTGCTAAACTACTGGAAGGCAAAAGGTACTCATATCCTAATTAATTCTTTTTCGGATATTCTTCATTTCGGAAGTTGGATTGAATATTTTGTCCGCTTATATACATAAGATTATAATATATTAAATTTTATATCCCAAACATTATATCCGATTTTATTCGATATTGGTACTAATAGTAATTCATTAGCAAAAAAATCCTTTTTATATTTAGAATACGAGTCTAAACGATATTAAATAAAAATGAGAATTGTGAAAGGCGACGAAGAACAAAAACAGACACATTTCCGTCAAGAACAAAAATTTATAAGGTTTAACTAAATATTAACAAACATGTTACACATTTATAACAAATGTAAAATAATTAGAGATTTATTTGCACCTCAGCTCAAAATTGCAGAAACTAAAGCATTAAAAGGTTAACTTTTGTTTCTTCTTCGATGGACAATCAATTATGGTTCAAATTGTTTACAAAACAAACTTGCGAACCTAACAGCCTAGCTGCGTACCATTTTCCAGTGACTTCAAATGGCAATTTTTAATGGCAATTAAGAGAATTACTTCGCGGTTACTAACGTAATTTCAGTTTAACACAAAGCTTGTAGAAGCAGTGCTAAAGGCAAACATCTAAGTTTAACTATGTCAGAGTGAAGCTGCCAAACAACTCTCCTGAAATCAGATTCTCATTCCTTATTTAAAACTCATTTAATTTACACATTTCGATAGAGCAGAAGAAACGGTAGAAATACACGAAGGATTCAACGTTATAAATAACGTATTAGCTAAAATAAAAGTCATAAACTTATTTTTGAAATTTGATAGTTGCTTAAACCGAGATATTTTTTAAAAACAGGAAGATTAAACATTTCATCTTCAATATAGCATGAAACAAAGCTTAAATTTTCATTGATTTTATAAAAAAATGTAAGAAAAGAAATTATCCTAATTCATCGAAAAGATTATTAATCATTTCAAAATAATACTGAAGTTTTTTTTCTCCTATTCTTATTTCTCCTCTTACATACGCTGAAAATATTCAAAATTATTTACAGAACAGAAAGATTCATTTCATAGAATAAGAAATTAGTTTAAAGAGTACAGTACTGAAAATTGTTACTTCATAACTTTAAAGTCTTAATTAACAGCTTCTTCAAACCGTAAATTTATATTAAAAGAAGGGAAACATCTGTAGATGACAACTTTATGTACAGGAAAAATTCTATATTCATTTCATGTATGAGGAACGGCACAGCATGAAGCAAATAGTCTAAATGCGAAAATTCTTAAACAAATTAAATATTCTCTGTTAAGAAGCAGAAGATTAATAAAATAAAATAAATTTAAAAAAATTAAATTTTAAAATAAAATTTATAATAAATTTAAAAAATTATAATTGTATTAAAATAAATAATTTTAAAATAAAATTTAATTTTATTACTTAAATTACTTAAATTTTTTAATAAAATTTAATAATTTAATAAAATTAAATTTTTAACCCAAAGGGACAATTTGCACAGAGGGGCTATTAATTTCGTTTTCGCATTTTGCGTCGGTTCACTATAAATGTCGGTTCACTTTTCAAATTGTTGCGACCAAATATTTAGAGATCTGCGCTATATTTAAAGAAATAAATAATGAAGAATCTGCTTGAATGTATGCTTCTCGCACTGTGAAAACACAACGGTACCTAGAGACATAAAATTTTGAATAACATAGTCCTCCATTCGAATATGGGCATCTGGAAACGCAAATCTGAAATTTGGAATTTTCTGTTTCATATTTTGTAAAGCATTTATGAGTTTTTGATTAAGATAGTCAATGATTTCAAAGCGAGCAATGGCAACACTGTACGAGGGAAAACAAACAAACAAACAAACAAACAACATTTATATCTCTAGCGCGTGAGACCGTGTATGGGAAGTTCTAAGGAAGATATGCTCTTTTTAAATTATTTTGTGATATTGCTATTGAAATGAATTTTATGGTTTGAATGCGAAGAACATGATATTTAATAGATAAATTTAACACACAAAACGTTAAAAAAAGCCACTTTGGATGTAATATAAAATTTGAAAACTTTCAGATTTTTATTTTTTAATTAATTAATTACTTAATTACTTTTTATTTACTTTATTTTTAATTCATTAATTACTTTTTAATTAATTAAATTTAAACTTTGATCTAATGTAATAAAAAATCTGAAATTTTTATCGCATTAAAAATTATCTTTATTACATCTTTCGTCTATTTTTAGATCACATATGCAGAGAACGCAAAAAAATATGTAATGCAAAAATTTTACCTTAATTTGCAATAGCCCTTAATTTTCTAATTTAATTTGGATATTTCCTTTTTTTACCCTTTTCATGCCGATAGTAGTTTTCATGCAGCTAATTCGGATATGAAAGTCAAAACTAGAAATCAAAACCTTCCTCTGAACTACGATTTCGTCTCGAGCACATATCGCTTGCTTCCTGTTGATGCTGCACTTGCTATGGTTTACTAAGTATTAATTTAATAATTTTTGTTATTATCAGATTATAAACAGGTTGATTTATTTACTTCTTTCGTTACATAACCCTATGACGGAGATACGGTGAAGGATGTAAATAACCTTTCTTCTTTTACTGTTTTATTTTCTGATTTATACCATTTTTCGCACTTTTTCATGTAATTAGTCACAAAGCTTCTCAGTTTTATTTTGAATGGTTTGCTCAAAGTTAAATGTGCGTGGATTCAAATGTTGTAGGAGAGAGAGATTTCAATTGATTTCAATTTTCCTTTTCCCTGATGAAATAGCATGCAGTGCAGAGACTGTTCTGTTATGTTCTTTTTACTGTTCTGTTAAAACTGTTTACTGTTCTTTTTACTGTTATGTTTTCTTATTACTGTTCTGTTATGTTCTTTTTTCTCTTAATTTTTTTTAACGATTTTTTTTTTTTTTTTTTTTTTTTTTTTTTTTTTTTTTTTGCATTGGAGTATTCATTGTTTAAAAGTTTTGGTTTTTACATTTATTAAATTCTTTGTTGCATTTATTAGATTATTTGAAATTTATTAATTATGAATTTCCGAATTTTCGTCTTTGTGAAACATTAGTTCTAAATTTCTTACCTTATATATGTAAGAAAAATAAAGAATACTATATAAAAGATTAAATTAGCAACGTAAATTTCCCTTCTCTATTCTAAAAATAGTAACCTCTCTCTGCACTGTGTCATTTCGAGACTATTTTATGTCATATGATTCTTACGTAATTATGATGATGTAAATGGAACCAAAACTCAACCACTCAATAGTAATTTTAGAGCAATATTAACTGTCCAATCAAAAATGCTTTGAGAACCAAAACTAGCTCAGTTTGACTTCAGATTTCATCCTGAACATTACGCACTTTCTTTCTACGCTTTGCCTTAGCTGGATTGCTGTCTGTCTGCTGCTTCTTTCCTGCTACAATTTTATCAAAATGTAAGCCTTTTGGAACAGGCACATTTAACGTGCCGACTTGTGTGTAGCCGCAACCTGTTGCTGAAAATAAAACTGAAGATTTAATCTGCCTTCGCCTCCAATTTCTTTATTGCTTCTGAGTTTGAATTTATTACTTTGAATCTATTACAATTGAGTGGACAGGACACATGTCCTGTGTGCTGGAATTCCAGTGGAAATGTTATCGCAGTGTCTACAATAATCAACCATCTCTTCAAACCTTCATGTGTAACGGAGAAATTCATAATGTATATCGAGTATCTGCAAGACCAAAGGTGCTAACGTCAGTGAAAACGAAGTGTGCAGCCATCTTTTAAATGTTTAGAAGAAAAAGAAAAATGTTTTAAATCATCAAAGTGTGTCTGTTCTTCACAGAGATGTTATCCAAATTGTGGCTACGATTGTGAAAGCGAATTAGTTAATCAATGCTTTCATGTTATAATCTTCAAGATAATATATATATATATATATATATATTATTCTATTTACATTCTATCAAATATTGCAATTTCAGGTTTCGGATTAGGACAGGATGTAGATGCTCAGCTTCAAGGTTTCGAGGTAAAATGTTTTTCCTGGTACTTATTGTGTTCATCCAAAGAATAAAAAAAAGGCTTATCTGCTTATGTCTATGTAATTTTTTTCTTTTAAAAAAAGAGAGAGAGCCCGCCCGACTCGCTATTTAAAGCAAATCCTGAAGTAAAAAAATTTTTTTTTTTTTTTTTTTTTTTTTTTTTTTTTTATTTTTTTTTTTTTTTTTTTGCGGGGATGGGGTTTCAAAAAGGTTTAATGGACAATTTTCTGAATTCCTTCCCCCCCCGCCGCAGTTGGCACGCTATGTGAAAATATGGGTAAATGAATAGATTCACATACTATTTTTATTAGTCAAAGAAAGAAGTACCATTAAGACTTCGTTTCTTAATAAAAATTAACGTTTTGCTGAAAAAATATTGTTTGCGCACTTTTTCTGACCAAATAAGGAAATGCATGCCCCTGCATTCTCTTATTTAGCGTCTACGTAAAACAGTAACTTCAAATCTTGGTGATTGCTCTAGCTGGATAATTGTATCAGATTTGCAAATGAAATTAAAACTAGAGTCAACTAGTATATTAGACTAGATGTCTAGACACCTTGGCTTCTGTGGCATGATGATAGTATGCTTATCTGGTAGTAAAAGAAGTCTTCAGTCCAACTCGTATTCGAAGTGAATTTTTATGATAGATATAAATTTCCATCTGACAAAGATATACTTAACACTACTTAAAATTCTTCTTTAAATTCTAAACAGATAAAATTTCTTTACTTAACCTTCGGTTATTATAACGTGGCATTATAAATAGACCCTTTTCTATATCCTGCTTATGTAAATTTCTCGTTCTGGGATAGGCGTGATAAACGTTTGTCTATTCTTTAAATTCATGAAGCTAATATAATATATTATGTACTAAGAATGATTAATAGTAAAGAACCGTTATGTTTAGTGTCGAGCGTGTTTTTAGATTGCTGAAAGAAATAGATAAAGCCTTACCAGTATTTTTACAAATAACGTTTAAACAGTGGTGAAGATGGTATTTTTGTTTTTTATCGCAAAAAATGAAGGAATCAATACAAAATTTCAGTGGTGCTTAGGTTAACCAAACTGTAGCAGATATATATGTTTAGTTTCTTAATAAAGAATCTTTATTAGCTAGAAGCCGTGAAGTTTACCAAGCAAATTAATACATGAACTACATAAAAACAAAATAAGATACTAAGATCTGAATGAAGTAATTAATAAAGAAGAAGGCTATTCTGCAAAAATTAATCTCCCATGTATAGAGCTTCATAACAGAACTTGTCAAGGAAAAAGTGTTTGGAAGCTCGATACTTGATCGATTAATAAGAGAGCCAAGACAAATTTCGTTCCGACTTATTCACTGAGACTTGGAAGCGCAATACTTAATCAATTAGTCAATTAATTAGTAGAATTAATTAGAAGTCCCATTGAATTCTCTCTTTTCTTTATTTGTCTTAGCTTTCCAACACAAAAATGAAAATAGAAATATTGTACATTTTTACAAAAACGCGTTATAAAAATTTTGCTTTCAAAATATACAAATAGAAAACCTGCGAACTATGAAGAAGTTTTACTAAGAAAAAAGCAAATAGGAAAAATTCAAAATAGCCTCAGTTAAAAAATTAAAAGAGACAGTCCTGTAAAACAACTTAAAAAAGTAGTGTCTCGAAAAATAAGAAGAAAAACTAAAGAAAATTGTAAATTTAAATTTAAATATTGTTACAGTATCTTAAAATGTAAATATTGTTACAGTATTTTAAAATGCTTTTCTTTTTATCGTATGAGTACCAAACTTCAATCAACGATTCCTTTGCTGATTAAAATATATTTAGTCGCCATTCATTTTCAATCCAAATATGCACCAAAATTGTTCGTGTCTTGAGCTCTGAGGTGCTTATAATTTGAAATATGCTCATGTCTTTTACGTATTCCCACAAGCAAAAATCAAGTTATGTACTGTTTGGAGAGTGGTTAGCCATAAGACTGAATCATATCGCTAAAATTAACTGTTCAAACAGTCTCGCATTTTATCCTAAGGAAAGATTGCTCCACTTTCAGCCAAATGTTATATTTGGGTTCAAATGAGAAACCTGAACATATGCAAAAGACTTTTGTCATATTTCTTTACATTCATTCACATTTTCTTCCATTTCGCAATTAACGCTTTAAATGTGGTTAAAACCAATGCATGAATGATGCCAGAAATACTGTATGAATAACGCCCAGAATTACTTGTTTTTATGCATTATGTAGATATAATATCTACGCACTGTGTGAAAAGTTCCCGAAACTGTGTTGAAACGCATGATATTCCGTAAGTTCCGTAACTAATCTAATAAATCCGTAATAAATAATATTACAGATAATACGTAATATTACGGGTCCGTAATAAATAATTAATCTAATAATCCGTAATAAAGTTCCGTTATTAATCTATGACAAGAATATATTTTTTCATTTACTTTTTTATTTCAGATACCTTTTAGTTCTTCCGTTAGTGAATCATGTGAAGAAATTATTAAGAAGTCTTGCGACACGTCTGAAGGGAATACTTCCCTATCACATAATACGACGAATGATGAAAGCGAAAAATGTTTTCGAAAGCATCCACAAGTCCTTGACTATTCTTCAGTTTTAAATCACAGATCTGAACACGTGACTCCAGATGAGTGTCCATCTGTTAAGGAGGTAAATCGTCACCCGTCTGATTTAGTGAAAGGTACGATTTCAGATTTTGAGGCAAAGGATATAACAGTCAAAAAGTTTCAGAGCCATTATTTGCCTTCTGACAAGAGACCGTTAAAAGTTTTAAAGAAAAACAATGAAGATCTTAGAGGTACTAATAAAAATAATGAAGATCTTAGAGGTACTAATAGAAATAATGAAGATCTTAGAGGTACTAAGAAAAATAATGAAGATCTTAGAAGTAAGTTATTAGCATTATCTTCTTCCCAGAGCACAACAGATACTTTTGAAGAAAGCCTGACAGAGGAAGAGAAAAATTTATTGCAAACTAAAGCTTCTGTAAGTGTGCGAAAGCGAAAATTGAAGAGTCACGAAAGAACTTCTACCGATCCTACAAAATCCAGTTCTATTTGCAATCGTTTGTTTTCCAGTGTTTCGAAACTTCAAGGAAAACAAATGAAGAAAACTGAAAGCGAGAAGAATAAAAAAAAACTTGATGAAGAAGATGATCTATTAACGACATCACGTAATGACAGTAAAAGATATATCAATCGTAAATTTAGCTTTCCAGAATGCGAATCTAGCTCTTCCTGCGCAACGTACGGGAAACAAAAGCCAAAACAAGAAGCCAAATTGTGTAATAGGCGAAAAGAAGATACACATTCGAATAGTATTATAAGTAGATGTGATATACAAGCAGAAAATCACATTTCTAAACTAGATCAAGCAAAAGAAACGAAAGAAGAGCCATGTTATGACAGCACGAAGCAAAAACAGATAAAAACGAAATATAGTATTGAGTCATTTCAATCAGAACATACGAAATTGAGACAAAATAACACGAATAAACGACACGAAATGGAATATTGGACAAAAGAGATTGACTTAGATTCAGACAAAGCATCGAGCGTCGAAGCTTTGGGACTTCGCACAGACATGCAGAAAGACATTCACCTCGGTAAATTGAATCAACTGAAGCAAACAAAGGAAGAGCCATGCAATAAACTGAGGTTTCAAAAACAAGCCGAAAGAAAAAGTGGTACAAAATCACTTCAATCAGAACGTAAGAAAATAAGACGAAATAGCTCGTTAAATCAAAGGAAACAACAGGAAATACAATGCTGGAAAGAGACTGAAAAGGAGTCAGACAAAGCATCAGAAGAAGAAGTCAGAAGATTTCATAGCGACAGGCAAAAGGAAATTAATCTTGCTGAATTAGATCAATCAGAGGAAACAAAAGAACAACCATATGATCAACTGAAGAAGCAAAAATGGGCAAAATCGAAATATAGCCCTGAATTATTTCAATCAGAACAAAAAAAAGCAAAACGTAACGGCACAGTAAATCAAATAAAACAGCAGGTAGCAGATTACCGTGGAAAGAAGGCTGAAATGGAATCCGACAAAATATTGGAAGCGTCAACTTCAAGACTTCGAACTGATATACATGAGGAATCAGGCAAAACATTGGAGGCAAGACTTCGAACTAACATGCACGAAGACATTTCTTCCAGTAAATTAGATCAATGGAAACAAGCGAAAGACGACAAATGTGATAATTTGAAGAACAAAAAACAGGCGAAAGCTAAATCTAGTTTTGAATATTTACACTCAGAGCAAAAGAAAGAGGGATACAGTGGCACATTAAATCAAATGAAACAACCGGAGAGAGATTACTATGTAAAGGAGACTGAAACTGAGTCTGATGAAGTATTGAAAATGGAAGTTTCAGGAACGAGCAATGATAATTATCCAATTATAAACCATTTTTCTCCTCAAGAAAAGCAAAAGTTTTGTAAAATTACTTGGAAAATGCTTGAGAATTCCCTTTTAGAAAGGAGGAAGAAATATTCAGATCTAAACGGACTTGATGAACTTAAGCTGAAGTTAAAGAAAAATGAGCTGATACAAAAGGAATTCTCTAATATCTTAAAGGACTATCCAAGCACAACTGAGATAATTTCTAGAAGTGTGTCGCGTGCTAAAAAGGGAAGTAAATCTGAAACAGGAAATTTTATTGAGAAACTAGGAGCCTTTCGGTCCCTAACGTGGAAAAAACCGCAAACTGAAGAGAAACAAGTTCTGAAAAAGAAAGACTTTTCTATAGAAAGAAGTTTCAGCAACGTAAGAAAGAACAAGGAGCACCATGATGTCAAAATAACTGATGAAGACTATGCACGTATTCCAAGTACAAACGGAGGTATTATCAAGACCGTAGAAAGGGCAGGAATCAAAGCATATACTGGTACAAAATTCACCAAAACGCTGGCAGAAGATTTTGTACATAGAAATAATGAAGCAGAGATCAAAAAGAAAGTACTGAAGAGGTTTAAAGATAATTTTTTCATTGAAATGTACATGGCACAGAAACATCGTCTACAGAGAGATCTTCACGACTATTTTTTTACAGACAGTATATCGCGTTCGCAAGTGAAAAGATATTACGAATCAGGAACTAAAGACCGAGAAGAATCTGTACTACATATTGATCATTATGAAATAAAGGAAGGCAAAAAAATCATCAACCAGAAACAGCATAAGTTCGAGTTTGATGAAAGAGATTCCATACATTCAGAATCTGAACACAAAATAGCACCACATAAAAAACGTTCAAATATCATATCAGGAATAACTAAAGCTGAAATCCAAAAACCCATAGAAAAATTTGAATTATCAAAAGAAAGTGAACAAATAATTAAGAAAAAAGATGCTATTTCAAGGTCATGCTTAGAAGAAGAAAAACTTCCTTCAGATACAAAAGTACTGGAATTGGGCAAAGAAGATAATGGATTGTTGTCCACAAGCATTTTAAATGAAGATTACCATGTTGATCTCATTAATCCTGAAATCAGAGAGGAAAGTATCTCTGCCAACGAATTTTATCCGACGGATAACGAACTGCTATCAAAAACAACTGAATCTGAAATCCCAATGTCCATAGAAAAGTCTGAATTATCAAAAGGAACTGAACAAATAATTAAGAAAGAAGATGTTGCATCGAGGTCATGCTTGGAAGAAGAAAACATTTCTTCAGATGCAAAAGTATCGGAGTTGAAAAAAGAAGAAGATAATGGATTGTTGTCCACAAGCATTTTAAACGAAGATTATCATGTTGATATCACTAGTCCTGAAGTCAGAGAGGAAAGTATCTCTGCCTACGAACTTTATCCGACGGATAACGAACTGCTATCAAAAACAACTGAATCTGAAATCCCAATGTCCATAGAAAAGTCTGAATTATCAAAAGGAACTGAACAAATAATTAAGAAAGAAGATGTTGCATCGAGGTCATGCTTGGAAGAAGAAAACATTTCTTCAGATGCAAAAGTATCGGAGTTCAAAAAAGAAGAAGATAATGGATTGTTGTCCACAAGCATTTTAAACGAAGATTATCATGTTGATATCACTAGTCCTGAAGTCAGAGAGGAAAGTATCTCTGCCTACGAACTTTATCCGACGGATAACGAACTGCTATCAAAAACAACTAAATCTGAAATCCCAATGTCCATAGAAAAGTCTGAATTATCAAAAGGAACTGAACAAATAATTAAGAAAGAAGATGTTGCATCGAGGTCATGCTTGGAAGATGAAAACATTTCTTCAGATGCAAAAGTATCGGAGTTGAAAAAAGAAGAAGATAATGGATTGTTGTCCACAAGCATTTTAAATCAAGATTATCATGTTGATATCACTAGTCCTGAAGTCAGGGAGGAAAGTATCTCTGCCTACGAACTTTATCCGACGGATAATGAAATGTCATCAGAAATAATTGAAGCTGGAATCCAAAAACCAAACGAAAAAACTGAGTTATCACAAGTGATTCCGCAAACATCAGAAAAAGGGGGCATATCTAAATCACGTTTAGAGCAAGCAAAAGTTCTTTCATACTCAGAAACCCGGAAATGTGAGAAGGATGAAGAAGGTCATACATTATTTTCAAATGCAAATTACCATGCTGATCTCATTAGTTCTGAAATGAGTGAAGAATGTATCTCTGCCCACGAAATTTATCCTACGGATAATGGATCTTTTTCAGAAAATCTGCAAAAAACTGAGGAAGATTTCACAACGCTTTTGAAAACATGCGCAGCTGACGAACAAACTACTGAGTTTTCAGCCGATGACACAAAGTATTCTTCAGCTCCACTGAAAGATGAGACCATCTTTCATTTTTCGAATGTTCAGCTGAGCAAAGATAAACATTCTGAAATCCCTGGTTCAAATGTTTTCATTTCGCCATATATATTACATAAAAACAAAGTGTTATCAATTAGTTCGAAGGAATATCCTTATAGCGATGAAAATATGTATTCAGACGAAGGCTATGGCAAACGTTTAGAGAGGAAAATGCCATCTGAAAATGCTCTTGAAACTGAAACTGTCAGTACTGTGTTCGAACTGCCTTTATTTCCAGAAACTGAACATTGGAATTATGATTCACGGATAGAAGATGTTTCAAACCAAATGCTAGCAGTGCAAGATAGGTCCAACGATAATTATGAAGAGAATAGACTTACAGCTCAAAATTCATTGGATACTTCCGAGTTTCGTATTGTTTCTACAGTTCGTACTGAATTTGAAATGCCCAAGTTTCCACAAGCTGAACTCACGAAGCATGATAGTGTGACATCTATGAATGAAGAAACTGCATGTTTATGCACTCCAAGAATTCGGAAACAGGAACCTGAAAAAAATACTGTAAATCTAACAACGTGTAAAGAAAACAGAGCATCTAAAAAGACTAGTCCTATTCCACTGACAGTGAATGATGTTACGGTCAAAACAGATTATACTCTTCCAAAAAAGGAAAGTATATCGTATTTCAAAGATTCAGGAAGTGATAAATTTGTATGTGAAAAACTACCGTCTGCCAATCTGAACAGAGAACTTGACGAGCTTAAATTTGTATCACCAGTTCCAGAGTCAACAAAGCACACTTTTACAACAATAGGACAAGATAACAATACAATAAGAAATCCAGAATTTACAACAGAACAAACGCCAGTAGCAGACTTAACAAAGAGAAATGAACCGTACAGTTTACCAAACAAAATTCTAACTGTCATTGAATCTTGCAAAATTCCTGAAAATTCAGCAGTAAAACAAATAAATGTCGAGTTAGCAAGAGGTACTAGTATCAGTTCAAACGTTTCAAGCACAACTGTTAATTCATTTGCACCTTCTCCTTCAACAGAAGCGACTGTAACTGCTATGAGAATGCCCACACAAACAGTTTCGAAATTTTCCGCTCCCACAAATGATTATGCCATCCAGTTATTCGAAGAGACTCTGCTAGAACCAAAATGGAAACAAGCACAGTATATATGTCAAGTTCATTCTGGAGTAAGTTTCTCTTCAAGTACGCTTCAACGTGAAACAAATATTGACATACCAGCTAATATGATCATTCCAGTAAATGCGAATGAAACCAAAACTTTGCAATTTCGCATAAATGAGTCCAAACCATCTATCATCTCAGATTTAAATCAGTTAATGGAGGCATATTTCTCAGAGTATCACAGAATTCGTCAATATTATACAGTAGAGGATGCTTTGATGTTATGGAAACAGCGTCGATCACTGGAAGATATTATGAAAACTTCTTTTTTTAATATTCAGAATCGGGAATGGATTCTACATAAAGCCGTTGAATTTATAAACATAAAATATACAGTAATGAAAACACAAGATCTTGATCCAGATATCATTGATTTAATTAATCTAATTGCACTGAATTTTTCACTACCTCATAGTAGACCCATTGTCAAATCAATAAGTATAAACGAAAGCTTTCAGAATAATACAGAAAACAAGAAAAATTTCTTACACGACATTGAGTCCAAAGATATCTTCATCAAGTCCGGAATAGAAACACTGGATCCAATTTCTTCTCCTTCTCAACTTTCTAATGAAACTGCATTAAATAAAATAATATTTACTGAAATAAATGAACAGCGTTTCAGCACATCAAATACTTTAGAAATATCCTTTGGTACGTATTCAAGCCCAGTATGTGTATTTTCTGAGACTGAATTAGAATCTGTTCCTATACATGAATTCGTATCCTTAGAAAAAACAAAGTTACAATATATGCTTCAATTCCCAAAATCTGTCATACATCCACAATCTGTCAGAATTGAAGAAATCTACGAATCGTGCGAGAGTGATTTGAATCAGGAATTTACCAGTTCAACAGAACAGCCACCAGATAATGGAGAAAATATTTCCAGCACCGATCCGTCGAGTATTTTGGATTTTAAATCAGATCATTCTTACGTAAAAGATTACCCTTATTCTCACGATTTTACTTCAAATGAATCAGATAATAATGTTATAGATATAAAAAGAAAAATAGAAAAATCTGGATCTCTAAATATTGCACTTGAATATCTGCCAGAAACTAAAAAATCTGCTTCGGATGACAATTTAAAGCCATTCTTAAAACATCGAAAGAAGACTCCAAAACCATCTGCTCAAATTCCGATTTATTCAGATGAGCATCAAGCAGCAGATTCGGAAAGACATCAGTATCAGGCGCAAAAAATGTTTGAAACTAATGAAAAGGATAAAATATTCGATATCTCTACTCAAACGTATACTATGTCCAGTGAAAGGAATAATTTGGACTGGTTAGTTCAACTCTTCCTTCTCTTGAACTCTTTTAAAACGTCTAGCTCATATAGTTGGAGAATGAACGAAAATTTAAACTTATCTGAACTTCCATTTCTGCAAACATTTATGAGACTCCAAGATGAGCATCCAAATTCATATACGGCAGACCCAAAAACCATTTTGTCATTGGACAGCCATGGAATTTTGCGAAGAGAGCAGCAGTATGAAAGATTTCAGATGGATAAGCCCTCAAAAATCTCTGACTATGACTACACCTTCAGCGAGAAAATACCACAAGAAGAAGCCTGTACTTCGGAAGCCATAAGCACAATCAATGTTCTTCAATTAAAGCGGCCTAAAATTTTATGCCACCTAAAAGCTAGTGGAATAGAATCCATTAAGCTTTCTGTTTCAAGAAAAGATATCCAATATCTTGAATCAGAGTCCAAGGCCTTATCCAGCACTATAGGACTTCCTAAACTGGAAGCTGATGCCACATCGAAAGATGAAATCTCAAATGACGCTGAGGGGAAGGAAATATCAAAATTACCATATTCGCGTGCACGACTTAGTAACGCTACTATTCTCAGCCTAATCGATGACAAAATACGCAGTTTAGAAGCTTATTTCTCAGAACATAACAATGACAGTAAAAGCGAGTAAAAGCCTGTGGTTATAACTAAACTACCAAGGAATTAGATGAAGTGGTTTAGCACTGAATCTGAGTAACACATTTATAAAATGTGCGTCTTCTCTTGTACAGAATGTTGAGGTAAAAATTAATTTTAATGCCTGAGATAAACTATTTATTTTCTTTACATGTTTGTATAAAAAACTCTTATAATCGTACTTTTACTCAATATATTTGTATTATGTCAATAAACTAAAATTACGAGTAGTGTCTATATGTTCTGTGCTTTATGTAATAGCAATTAATACTGTTATAAACTTCTGTGAATATTTTAATCCTTGATTCCATTGTACATAATGGTATTGTTATGTAACAGAATTTTTTTGTTAAATTTAAGGTGAATACTTTTTTAAAATCTCTTTACGTGACATTACATTTTTGCTAATTACTTATGTTTTAAATTGAAATTTCATAATCCGCGACATACTGTAAACAACATAAAAGGTGCGTAAAAAAGGAAAGCATAGCCACTTTCCTAGCGTCCTTCGTAGTGTAGTAGTTCTGCACGCTGGGCTGGTATTCCAGAAGTCCGTGGTTCGATTCCCAGCGAAGGCCGTTGCTAATTTTTCATCTCTTCTGCTTCGAATTAACCTAATGACTCTACAAGTTGCGCCCGAACTAAAAGGGTTGTGGATGATGATTCTCCGCACCCAGGATTTGGCGACTAGGTCCCCTAAAACCCTAGTCGCCCTTTAAAAAGGGTAGTATATAAGGTATTTCTCCCACTTCCCTAGCGTGCCTTCGTGGTGTAACGATAGCACGCTGGGCCGGTATTCCAGAGGTCCGTGGTTCGATTCCCGGCGAAGGCGGTTGCATATTTTTCACCTATTCTGCTTCCAATTAACCTAATGACTCTACAGTGGCGCCCGAACTAAAAGGGTTGTGGATGATGATTCTCCGCACCCAGGATTTGGCGACTAGGTCCCCTAAAACCCTAATCGCCCTTTAAAAAGGGGAGTATATAAGGTATTTCTTCCACTTTCCTAGCGTCCTTCATGGTGTAGTGGTTCTGCACGCTGGGCCGGTATTCCAGAGGTCCGTGGTTCGATTCCCGGCAAAGGCGGTTGCTAATTTTTCATCTCTCTGGCTTCCAAATAATCCTAATGATTCTACAATGTAATAATGAGAATACACTTTAAAATTGTATTCTATTATTTTCATATTATTAATGAAATAACTTTTAGATTATAAATACATTAAGAACTATATTTTTATTATAAATGCTACATATTGAAGCATTGGAAATTTATTGATTTGTTATTATGAATAATGAAAACATTTGTATATTCATCCATTAATATAAGTCTTATTCGTTCCTTAATACTAATAAATATACATCCACAACTTCTAAACATCGCATCTCTCTCTATGTGTACGTAAATATATGACTTACTATATATCTATATACATATGGATGGAACATTGAAACATTGCCAAAAAGTTTATTTGAAGTTACTTCTAATTCATATAACGATTATGCAGTTGGCAGCAACTGTAGTCATCTTTTCTTTGCACATTATCCTGGATATGGAATACACAGTTGAAAAATAAGTGCATTTTGTGCTTTTCATTAAAATTCACCCATTTACAGACAACCTTTGCATTTGTAATTTACTCGAGAATTTAAACCAAAAAATCTGATGAGTACACCACATGACTTCCTTGTACAAAATTATTAAATTATATGAAATTGTTATTACATTTCATTTAAACTTATTGGATTGAATTAAACGTACTTCGTCGACAGCGCATAAACCACAAGAGAATAATTGCACTCTTCAAAATTCACTATATTTGTTTACCATAGCGACACTCTGACGCTAGGTTCACTTAACTGCATTACATCTCATTCATTTTATAACTCAGAATGCAAAAAATTTATATCATCTGAAGAATTATCTAATCGTTGCATGTTCTATACAATATCAAATACTATACTAAATCTAAAATATATATCAAATACTATACTAAATCTAAAACGATGTATAAAAAATATTCTCATTCAATGAATTCAGTTCTCATTTCGCGACAAGGCAAAATACATAAAAACTGAAAATATCTATATTAAAAATTACGAAGTAAATATTAAACTCTTATTTTTTCGAACAATTTTCAGAATGGATTAAGCATGATTTAATTTTCAATAATAAAAAAAGGCATTTTCTTTGTTGTTGCGAAGCTTAGTTTCTCTAGATTATCAGCAAACTATTTTATCAACTATTTTGCTAAGTTTCAAATGTAAACAAACATGGCGGCTCTAGTAAAAGTAATTAGGCTTAGCCGAACTTAAACAACTTTAAATTCTTGATAATTCTATAGATACTGCATGCAGATTTACTAAAGGCATAAAAACCTTAACCGGAACAACATAATTCAATCATTTTTAAAGCAAAAAATGCACAATTTAAAACATATAAGAATAAAGAAAGTGAGATCACTGAGCCGAGCAACAGAGCGAATGTATAAATACATATACTATAAATAAATCGAAGTTGATTTATGCCCAAACTATGTTTTAAATGAGATATCCCAGGGGATAAAATGTTTTAAATGTAAAAAGTTTGGGCATAAATCAACTGACTGTCAAACCCAGAGCCCCGAGAAACAAGCATCTTTAGCTCGAATTTCTGATAAGAATAGAATTAGGAAGACTGTAGAAATAAATAATCGTTTAGTTGATAGTCTTGTTGACACTGGTTCAGATGTAACAATATGCAGCGTGGAGTTACATAAGCAAGATTGGGCTCTCCTAAGTTTAAATCTGTAGCGATATCACATTGTTCGGAATCGAGGATCAAAGCAAACGTATCCCATTGGCTTTTTTATTTCTGATATTTTAATTGATGGTTTTTCACTTCGTACGAAAATTTATGTTGTCAAGTCGTTATGTAATCACATTGTATTAGGTTTAGATGTAATGAATCAGTTTAACTTTTCCTTTGCCCAGAATGGCCTTCAAATAATTTCTCATCGGAATAAAAGTAATGTAAACGTGATAACTGCTGAGTCATCTCGAAATGCTAACCTGCCATGAATATGATCAGATGCGAAATTTACTAGCAGATATGCAAAAATGAAGCTGGGAAGTGACAAGCTGCTGATTTTAAAAGCTCGGAAATCTTTCATGGTTTTAAATTCACTGCATTTATCCGGATGCATGTTGTAAATTATGAATGCATTTACAATTGAAACATCTATAAAATGAAAAAAAAAATTCTGTGCCACCATTTGTAACTTTTTCTGTCAATTTCGTACAGGCATTTCAAGTGGTCAAACCTGTCTAAAAAGCCCATATTTTTGTTTATAGTCTGTTATTGCTAGAGGGCATACTAAGTTTATTATTTTACCATTCCTTTCTCTCTACATTAATGACATTTGTTGCATTTTCTAAACATGATAATATGCACACCGCGTTTATCCTTCGATTTCAAGCATATTATGCTATCTTCACTTGATGCCCAATTTCTCCTCTTTTTATCAATTTCTCCGATTTTAAGTTTTTTCGGCAAATTTATCCTATTCCTGTTTACAGTTCCACATGCGAATATCTTTTGAGTCTCTAAAAAATCTGAAAACACTGTAATTGGTAAAATAATTGTCCATAAATAACCTTTGATTTTTACCAAAAATTGGTTGGCTTAGTGCGAACAACTCTATCACTTAAGTTTTTTCGGTAGTATCACAAATTTTTCCAGCATAAATTTCAAACTTGCAAGCTTATGCATTCTCATCAGATTGCATCCATATTTTATACCCTCTTTTTATGGGGTATTTTTAGCATATACTGTTTGAAAAAGATCGTCCTTTGAATTTTACCACTGATTCATCAATGGCTTGATTTTGACTTCGATGAAATAAAGAAATGAATTCCTCCGACAGATTCCTCAAAAAAAGGTCTTATTTTTTATAATTTGTCAAAATTGTCGCTTCCCTTTTTCGGCTGTAAAGAATTATCATTGTCATGTAAAAGTGAGAGAATCCATGCAAAACGTTTTACAGACATCTATTGTGCTATGTACTCAGCATGCAAATCGGGATCCATTGACAAGTAGTCTCTGTAGCTTGGCAAACGCTTGATTCCCATGAATAGATTAATAGCCCAAAACCGCCGTAATTCATCAAACTCTATAGGGATGAATTGTTTACCTCCTTGAGTTAATTTGAAAAACTATATCTGCCAACAATTTTACTGTAATAAACAGCAAAAATACTCCAAGAAGAGTTGGATTTTGCATTTTTAAAACTTCAGATGACGGACCACTGTCTTCCGTAAATTCTGGCAGAGATTTGGAAATAAAATGTTTATTCCATTTCACTTGCGGCTTAGAAGTCACTTGTGGAAGCTACTCAATTTCTTCATCAGCAGAACTAGAAATAATATTTTCCTCTTTAGTAAAGTCTGCAACATAGTCAGTGGCGTAGCTAGGGTGGGGCAAGGGGGGCATCTGTCCCCGGCCGCAGTATCCAGGGAGCGCAAAACTGATGTTACGAAATTTTAAAATGAAATGATTTCCATTCTTGTCACACAGAAAGGGGCGAAAATTCTTCAGTTGTTCCCGGGCGCTGAAAACCGTAGCTACGCCTCTGAACATAGTCTTCATCAGTATAACTATCATTAGATACTGTTGAATCATCATCTGGTGGCAAATCTTCAAAAATAGCAAGAGCCTCTTGTACAGATAAGCTCTTTCTAGACATTGTAATAAACTTAAAAAATTATGTTGAAATTAAAACAATAAAAGAAATGTACTATAATCTTACAAAAGTAGAAAGTTAATTTAATCTATTACAAAAAATAATCTACATAGAGAAAGTATTCTAAATTTCATCTCTCTAAGAAACATGAACATTCTGGCCGAACAGGAAAACTATACTGAGAATCAAATCAAGCCCAAAACCTCATCACATGTTACACAGTTTGTTTGTATTTCGCAACCCTACGGAAACATAAAACTGTCAAACATAACTTTCTTTCACGTAGAGGCACTGCGGCGTTTTCAAGGTCAGTAGAGCGGTGGATAGACGATGTATCCACGCTCAAAAACTTTCCAAAAAAATAATAACAATAATGAAAATGAATTGTTTTTTCTTGTGAATTAGTTTAATTTATTTAAATGAGAGAAAAATATACATTAAAACTGTCGAAATGTTTTGGATAAATTAGAAATATTATTTAAAAGAATAAAATTTCAATTCGCAATACTTATGCAGTGAACGTACAACTTCAGCACTCCATCAGAGACCATAATTTGATAATAATTCATAGTGCTGCCATCTGTAATGATTTTTGTGCATTTCAGCTTCCATCAGTGCTAAGGCCATCAGTGCTATAGGAGCCTTAATCAGTGCAGGTGACTAACGAAGTTCGCCACTGCACACTTAGAGAAAAAATAATTTTAGGTGGTTTGACTGTGTAGCCATTGCCCGCGAAAGGGCTCGAGCAGGTTTTAGCACTTAATTCTCTGTAAGTTACACGCATTATTCCTGACTGAAATTCCATAATAATTTTGAAATAAATCAATAAAGACATCCATTAATAAGCAACGTTGACTGGTTCATTCAGTTTGTTTTCCCTTCAATCTATTCTAACCCCTTCGATCTTCGAAGCCTAAAACGATGCTTCTGTATATGACCTGTGCATTCATATTTGGTGACACAATTTACAACATAAATACCTTTTCAGATCATAAATCACTTTAAAAAAACATTTTCTGCTGATGAGCAATTTTTTAGTTTTGATTCATTAGATGTAGGAACTGCTTTATTAGCAATATTTTTGATTTCCTTCGTAACCCGTTTCATAAATTTAATCTTACACATTTTCGTTTACAAGTCGGGCTTCGATGGTTTTTTATCACCCATCACTAGACTTTTAACTTTAGTGTTATTAAAAATAACCAAAAAAATAAGATAAATCTAATTGCAATATATCCTAACATTTCGAGTCAAATTCGAATTCACATGCTAGCATGAAACACATTTCCAACATGTAAATAATTACAATATTGCATTTTATTTGAAGTAATTTCATGTTGCCACATAGATTGCAGTAATAATTCTTTAAATTCTCTCTCTTTAAAAAAGGCTTCTGGATTATATTTCAAGAAGAAAAAATTGTCTGCTCATTTTCGACATTTTACTGCTCTCTGCATTCGGACTTTCAACGCCGATTTTCGCCTCTTTATGAAATTCTTAATATCGCGATTTCTAATTAACGCAGAAACACAACCTGTTTGGGAAAGCTAAATAAACGACCTATCAAATTAATAAATAAAAGAAAACTCGCATTTTTGATCAAAATTGGCCTTCTCAACGTGTTCGGATACCTTAAACATGTAAATAAATCAAAGCCTCTTCTTGATCTAACTACGTATGGATTGATAGATGAGTAGCCGAAACTTCATGAAACCTCTGCTGATTTTTCATTTAGCAAATTTACGCAAACACCATAAAGATATAATAAAACAAAATTTCCCCCTCTACGGGTTTCAAACAAAGTCAGATATTGCCATATTTGGAATGTTAATGTAAAGCCGACTTCCGTAAAAGCTAGGTCAAAAATTGTCAAAATTTTATTTGTATGTCAAAATTTATTTGAAGCAAACTATGATATTTTTTAAATACTAATTACATCAATTACTTATTTCTCAAATTTGTTACTTAAAGTATATATTTTTGCCTCTGTTGAACAATTTTTCATAAAGTAGCAAATGGAAATGTACAGTCTGTTTATCATAAGAAAAGGGTCTTGCCAGTTAGTCTGCAGCTGTCTGTTGCCATAGAAACGAGCCTTGATCCATTTTACGTAGGGGTGTCTTGATGATTTACTTTTCAGTTTGCCATCTTGGCGCATTGAAAGATGAATTGGCAACCCTTGGTTTGGCCGTATTTGAAATATACTAGCCCTGTTGCTATAGCGACCGCCACCCTCCAGACACAAGTGAGGTTTGGGCAGGGGGGGCCCAAGAGCGATGCGCAGTGCAGGGAGAAAGTTATGTCACATACGCATGACGTCATGTGGGTGACAGCGTTAGTTCTTGGCGTTTGTTTACTTTCGTTGCATCAACAGTTTGATTTGATTTCTGTTGTTAATTTGCTATTATACCTAGGCGGAAGTGGCAAATTGTGCTATAGCGTTGTGTCAGAATTATACACGTTAATACATTATATGGCGGAAAACACTCTTTACAACCAGATAAAATAACTATTTTTTAATGAATTTATGTAGTTTTCATACATAACTGTGATGTAATTTTACATTTATTTTTCATTTTACTGCTATTTTACATTTAAAATTGAAAAATTTCTCATTTTAAATCATTTTTTATCATAATCTTCATTTTGTGTATGAGACTTACATCGTAGTGAGATATTTAAACTCAGTGTCATGTTTACCAATACTGAGTACCTGAATGATTAGTTAATAAATTCGCGTATCCAACTTCATTCACATGTTTTGGTTACTTTCTTTACATCCCAAACGTAATTCTATGTATTGAAGCAGCGTCTGGGTTAAGCTTTGCGAACTAAGTAAACTGATACATGCCTCACCGTGAGGAAAGAACAATTTCTCGACCACACTATGATGCAAACATCGAATGAGTGAGTGAGTGAGTGACATATTTCCTTCAGTGTTATTTAACTGATGCATACAGGTATGTGTGATGTAATTTAATTGATATAACTTGAACTTACATGCTTGAACCTGAAGGAAAACAAATCTGTGTATAATGCTAGAATACAAATAGCGAAAGAGAAAAGTAAGATATTCTGTCTTCAGTGTTATTTAACTGCTGCATATGTTTTAATTTTGATTCCATATAACTTGTTTTTAATTATAAGAGAAAGAAAAATAATTCAATATTGAACACATATTTCGAGTATAACAAAAGTATTTTAAGAAACAACCTGATAAAAATACATTAGTAATTAAAAATATTTAATTTGTGTACAGGCTGAATTGAAATTAAGATGTGGTGGTGTATTTAATTATGGCAAAGTACACTAGGGTTATCTGCGTAATAGGTGTGATGTCTTCGTGGAGGACTGGCTCGTATACACGTTACGCATGAGGAAAACCACGAAAACACCCATGCAGCCAGCCCGTTCGCGGGATTCGGACCGAACTACCAGTGTTCAGCGACTTTACCGCTCAGCCGCTAGTGGGCCGAAACTAAGATGTAGGGCAAGTTTATTATTATTATTATTGTGCGTATATGTGTAAGAAAATGTATTTTAATTGTTCCATTTTTAATGTATGGAAGGAAGAATAGGATGCCAATATCGAAGATTATTTACTATAGCAAATAATCACGTCAGGATAAATGTTATATAGAAATCTTGGCAGTGTAAGGGATTATAAGAGTACTTCTAGATTATACTGAAAATATACGCACTTCTGCTAAAATCTGAAGTGAATCAGTATGAAGTGACTTTTCACTTTATAAAGAATGCGATAAGTATACTATTTAAATGTATAAATGTATAAATGACGGATATTAAGAAATTTGTAGAATTTTATGGTATTTAAATATGAATTTGTTAAGTCAAATCTTTTTATATATATACTTTTGCTTGAGATATGTAATTTAAACTGAAAATCACGATCATATATTTCTCATGGAATGTCAAAGTTCATTGTATTAAAAAAAGTGCATGAGTAATGAAAATAAATAGAATAATACTTTTTGATTATGTTTTTACCATGGTCTTAGCAGTTATGCCATCATGTGTTCTGTTCAACAAGATTTATTTAGTGCAAACAATACTACGAAAAAATATTGAAAAATACCTTGTTTTACAATATTTATTTCCCTTAATTAACTTAAATATCGTTTTTCATTTTCTAATGCTTTCCTTTACGAAAAGAATTTAATGTTTACAATTATTTTCAGCATTCGTACGAATTCTGTGCATAAAATAAACATTTTCTTTAACAAAATACTTAATCGGAAAGTATATACCCGGTATTTCCGGTGTATCTACCACATATAAAATGATCATTTTGCTTTAGTTTACATTTTTTCCATTACCAAAATCATGTAGCAGACGCGTCGGCCGATGTTTCTTGTCTCCCGGGACGTCACTACCAGCAACCAATGGCACGCTTTTTCCGTTCCTGGCCTAACCTTAGTATATTAAAAGAACCTTGAGGTTTGGGGTCTAGACGCTTGGTTCCAGACTGTGGCGGGAGCTCTTTTCGTAGACAGACAGCACATAGCAACCATTATTCCTTGATAGCAACCGCTTCGCGAAATTTGGGCGTTCTTTGTTCCTATTAGTTACATTTTGTGATTCTGTCAGTGTTGTTAATGCTCGTTTGTTGCCTTCTCCATTCTGTCCTTTGAATACGAATTTCTGTATTCAGTTTTGAATTGATTCATAGTTGAACTGATAAGTGACTTATCTTGGACTGTAAAATGAAAATCATAAAGCAATAGCCGAATGGTGTTATTAGCCTATATGTATAAAGCTTTATATAGTATTGGAAAATAGTTGTGACAGTGCTTCAGAAGATTAATGAAGATTAATTTATATATATATATATATATATATTATATATGAAATATGCATGACTTCTGCTCATTTTGAAAAGAAATTCATTTCATACAGATATTGGAATATAGAAACTATATGGAATTGTATGGAACTTTCTATGTACCATGCCAAATAAACTGTTCAAATTGAAATCTGTTTAAAAAATCACATGTGCGTATTCACACATGACAAATGTTGAGTACTGGGAATTATTCTAATAAAAGTGGCTATTAAGGAAATACATGGATCTCAATACTGAAGAACCTCACACATGTGTGGTTTGTAAGAAGTCTTTTAAACATAAATGTAGTTTAATTGGACATGTTCGTATTCACACACAAGAGAAACCTCATGTATGTGAAATGTGTAACAAATCCTTTAAATCAAGAAGTACTTTAAAATGCCACATACTTATTCACACAGGAGAGAAACCTTATTTATGCAATGTGTGTAGTAAGTCATTTAGGAAGAAATGTCATTTAAAAGATCATATGTTTACCCACACTGGAAAAGTGAAATCTCATATATGCACTATGTGTAATAAATCTTTTTACCGAAATTCTCACTTAAAAGAACATTTGCTAGTTCACACAGGAGAGAGGCCTCACGTATGTGAGGTATGTAATACAGCATTTGCACTAAAGAGTAATTTAAAATCCCATAAGCGTTTCCACTCTGGAGAAAAGCCTTATGTATGTGTTGTATGTAGTAAGACATTTGTGCAAAAAGGTGACTTAAAAAAACATGTACATATTCATACTGGAGAGAAACCGTTTGTGTGTAAAGTATGCAACAGATCATTTGAAAGAAAATGTAACTTAGAGACACATGTACTTATTCATACAGGAGAGAAGCCTCATGTATGTGAGGTGTGCAACAAAGCATGTCGATCAAAGTATGTTTTGAAGAAACATCTGCTAATGCACACAGGAGAAAGGCCTTATGTATGTGAAATATGTAATAGGACATTTGTGTGTTGCTCTACATTAAGAAATCACAGATTTATTCATGCAAGAGGGAAGTCTGTTATATAAATGGTGTGCAAGAAAGCATTTGAAAAAAAACTCTTTTGAAGAAATACGTATTGTTAAAACAGAAGTGTAATACACCAAGAAAACTTGTATGTTAGCCCGTTGTCATTGCCAAATATGATATATGAATTAGTCGGCACTGATATCGATGACATATCAAGTCTGTCAACATAGTGATCCTGTTGAAATGGAAATAAATATATTAAGTCAATATCAAATGCGAACATGCATTGTTTCATATAAAGTATCTGTTAATATAATCTTAAGGTATGAATTTGTGATCTCTGTATAAACAGTTAATCTTTTACATCAACAGTTCTCAGTCTGTGGTGCATGTACCCCTGGGCTATATTAGGACTTAGGGATATGTGTAGAAACTATCAGTAATGGTTCAAAATAACTAAATGTTGTAATAAATGCTTATAAGAATAAACATTTAGTTTTGATATTGGTTAGAAAGAAAAGCAATTCCCAATGTGAATGTTATGATTGAAATGTGTAACCAGTTACTAGTTTATTTACGTGTCATGTAGCAACTCCCTTCTCTGCTGCGTATCATATGCTTGACAACTTATTGTATTTTCATTACTGAGTGAATTATCAAGTCAGTTATGTAACTCTCTTTAAATTGTGGTACTGAATTATGGTATGTGTTTTCTTTTAAAGTTTTTGACTTAATTGATTCTATGCTAAAAAAATAGATAAATAATTAAAAAGTAGATCTTTGCACAGAAGAAAAACTACTTGTAGTAGTTATGATTTTGCATCTGCACCAAGCACATTTTTGAAGACTGCCCATTTCAGTTAAGTTTGAAATTTCACAGTGTGATGAATAGCTTCAAGGACTCGTATAACTATTCGATGTTATTTAAAATTAAGTTAACACAGTTTAGAATTAAGGAAAGTTCCATAGCTGTTTCAGAGCATCTGACAAAATTGATTCTATGCTCAAAAGGTTCAATTTTAGGAGAATTATGTAATAAAAAAAATCAGATGGGAATTCCGAAGATGCAGATTTTTATCAGAATAATTAGTCCCATTCTACAGAGTCAAAGGAAACTTAATAACTCAAAAGACCTGAAGAGGATTTTTCAAACATTACTTGTCCAAATGAAATGAGAAGGGCAGTTAGATTTTAGATTTTTTCTATGAAGATTTCGTTTAAGCAACCTAATTACCATTTTCTGGAAAAAAACAAAATATTTATTCATTGCATTTTATAAGTTTTATGATAAGGGGGATGAGCATGAGTCATAGGTGTGAAGGGAAAGGTTAGTAATATTTTGAAATTTTAAAATGTCATAAATGGGTACATGAAAGAAAAAAGACTGAGAAACACTGTTTTATGTAAAAAGAAAATTTTGTCATTTGGTGTTTAAAAAAAAAAAAAAAAAAAAGACACATTTATCAGATTTTTTGTGTAGGCATCACAAAAGCATTTAGTATCCTGCTAACTATTGAGTACCACAGCAATTCTGCTTTTACATTAATTATACTAAAGTTTTATATTAAATTTACATGGGGGTCCTTAAGGGAAAATCACATGGAAACTGAACACTGCATGAACAAAAATTAAAGATTGGTTCAAGGTATGAAAACTCAGAACAAGTATTTTTCTCCCAAATAATATCAAATTCTTTAATTACATTTAAATTAGATTTGCAAACACTTGACTACATTTCTTCCTATAAATTTATAAATATGTATTTGTTTAATCAATCAAATATGGCAGAAATACAAAGACCCTTTAAGAGAAACATAATTTGGGTTTACAGTACTGACGAGAAGAACTATAAAAATACTCATGCATGCCAGATTATTTGCTAGAACATCTAACTTGGTTAAACTAAATGTATTCAGCAATTTTAGCTGCTCAGCTATAGGAAAGTGGAGGAAAAGTGGCTGATTGCACAAGTCTGATGAACATTGATGGTTTGCTGTAGGCTGGAATGGTTTCTTTTTTGAGGACCTTGTGTAATTTGACTAATGAAACAGTTTTTCTTAGAAAGTCTTCCAGGAATACATGAACAGGTAGTCTTTATGGGCTTTGCCATAATTGATTTAAAAAATGGTGTATGTGATTTTATTACCCTTTCAGAGATCATTTCGTTCCAGATGAATTAGGTCGTAATTTTTTATAAACATAGAAATCTCATGTTAAATAAATTATGTTTTTACTATTTAGTTAATGTTAATTTTGTAGCTAATGCTTTTAATAATTAATGAATTAATTTGTAATTAGTTAATAAATTTTAATAATTAGTTAATGGCTCAGTTTATTAACTAGATGGTTTTTATATTTATCTTATAATTAAATCATTGTTATGATATATTTAGCATACCAACCAGAGATAAATAAAGCTGCTGAATGCTGGCAGTTTCCATCTTGATAAATATGGTGGTGGCAGGGGCATTTTCATGATTTTTCCCATGTGTAATATAAGTGTGAGTAATTTTTCTTCTAAGTCAGATAATGCAGAGAACTTCGATGTGTTTATCTTAAAGAAATAATCCTTTTAAAGTGGGAGGTGTGCCTCACCTGAACCTTTCTTTTAAAACACAGGGTGCATTTTTTTAACATTTTTATTTGAGTACAGAAAGTGATAGAGAGGCCCTTTGCAATTGTAACATTGAGACCTTATAAATCTACCTCTGACACCAAACTTCATTTTCATTACTTTTGGAAATTCCCTATTGTTTGCAGCATCTACTATTTAAACAGTGGCAAGAACCCTATTTTTTATGAACTGTGACAACCCTGTTCTGAGCTCTTCACAAACCACCAAATGATCCGGAATACTAATCATTGTCACCTCATTATAAGAAATACTGTCAGTAAGGCACAGTCCAGAATAAAAAATGGCTATTAGTGCCATTTAATGGGAGATATAATAATAAGGTAGTTCCTATTTTTGTTAATCATCTGAAAATTATAACTTATCTGGTCATGAAATTTGTTTAAAATATTTTGTTTTCTGAAATTTATTAATGACAGAAATATTCTAATTTAGGTTAAAGTTTATGAAACAAAGCAGGTGATTATAAAAATTCAGCACCTAGGAGCTGCTTTAATGTTTATCATTTAAAAATGTCTTATGAGTGATTAATATAAATACAGAAGAAGCTAAATCAGAAGCGAGATAATTCTGAAACCTAAGCCTGAAGTTACAACAATTTGCTACATGTAAGCAAGATGTGAAGAATTTGAATTTCAAGGTACATTTCATAGATTGATGTAATATATTTTATTATAAAATAGTCCCCCCTTCCAAAAGTAATTTTTTTCATTTATTTAAGTTTTGAAATATATGCAGAGCATCAAATAGACTTGCAAAAATAACAATAATTGTTGCACAGTCCCATGTGTAACATCGTTAATAACATCGTTAAAGTCGTTAATTCGGACACCCATAATCCGGACCTCAAAGCTACAAACTTTCTGCGCATGCATCGCGTTGATGCATGCGCATAGGCGTTTACATGTGCACGTAAGACCTTTACGGCTGCGGATATGCATGTGCGCAAGCGCATAATACGTTTATGCATGCGTGTTTAATGTATAATGGACGGTATAAGCTAAGCTAAAATTATCTAATTCAGTTAATGTTGCAGGTTGCGTTGTTCCTTAATCTTCGAATTGGATCCGGCTTATTATTTTTTGCAGACTGTTAGAGAAATTTTATAAAAGTAAGCTTGAACTTTCGATTATGTCAAATAGAATTCCTGATATATATTTACTAATATGTAAAGGATGTACAAAGCGAAAGTATGTTTTGAAATACGAAATCTGTTTATCAATTTCACGCTGCTCTGCGGCACGGGGGGGAGGGGAAACGCTGCGCCGCGCAATGAATTGGAAGTTGATCTTATCTTCAGGGCAGATGTTTTTATTTTATTTGGCTTATAATTCCTTACTAAAGTAGTATTTCATCTCGATGTACTCCGTCTTTGATATGATTTAAATCAAGTTCCTCGTCATTATAATTCGCTTCCGATAGTGAAGAAAGTGACAGAAAGGTTATTGAAAACAAAAACATTTCGATTGACAAATTAGTCGTTATTCTTGACACAGCAATTATAGGACTTGAACTGCGGAACTTTGTAACTAAACAAGAAATTATGTCTGTTTAATAGAATTAAAGAGAAAGTATTATCACATGAAACAAAGCAACTTAAAAACTTATATTGAAAGAAATGTTTAATAAAGTAAACAAATAAATATTAAGGTTTTTCTTTTTGTAAATTTTGATACCCTTTAGATCATAATTGTTCTTTATTTCATAAATTACGGTTTCATATTTTTAATTTTGTAATTTCTGTATGCCATCTTAACAGATTTAAACTGATGGTCTATAACCCGGAACCGTCAAAGTCCCGGCGAGTCCGGATTAACGACTTTTGACTGTACTAAGATACTTATGTAAGTTAATAATAATAACAACATATATATATTTACATTTCAATATGTACGTAAATGTCTATTTTTGGTAGGGGAAAGAATATGATTTAAGAATATTAAAGAACTGGGAGAAGATGTTAAATGAGTAGCATAAAATGAGTGATTTGAAAAAGATAATTCTGGCAAGCAAAGAGTACAATAAAGAATCGTTTAATGCTATAATAAATGAAAAGAAAGAAGAAGAAGAAACTGAAGAACATAAGTGAAAAAAAGAACAAAAATGAAAATATGAAATTGAATTTGAACTGCAAAAATTACATATTGAAGCAGAAAAGAGGTGTACAAATTCCATCACCAATCAAAATGTTAGTGGTACGCAAATGAACCTAAAGTTAGAGTTTCATCACTTGGTGTAAAAATTTAATCCCAATGAAAATGATATAAATTTATTAGCCCAAAGGAACGGCAGCCCAGAAGGGCTATTAGTCTCAAAATCACATTTTGTGACATTTCACTATAAATGGTGAATCACTTTTTAAATTGTTACTACTGAATATTATCACCCTGTATTATTTTTAAAGAAATTAAATAATGAAAAATCTGCATGAATGTATGTATGTTTCTCGCATTGTGAAAAAAGCGACAGTACCTACAGCCATCAAATTTTGAATTTTTTATTATCTCTTTCATATTTTGTAAAACTCTAACGAATTTTTAATTAATAAATTCAACAATTTCAAAGCAAGCAGTGGCAATACTGTACAGGAAAAGAAAAAAAAAAAAAAAATTATCTCCAGTGTACGAAACTGTCTATAGGAAAATTTTAAAGATTTACTGTTTTCAAGTATTTCGTGATATTGCTGTTGAATTGAATTTTATGTGGTTAAGTGCAAAGAACATGATATTTAATAAATAAAGGTAAGACACAAAACATTAAAAAAAAAAAAAAAAAAAAACACCTGTTTGGGTATAATATAAAATCAAAGCTCTCAGTTTTTTTTTTTTTTTTTTTAAATTTATATTTAGTTATGTTTGAGTATTTGGCCAAACAACTTGAAATACTCAAAAATACATGGGTTACTTATTTGCTTGATTTATTGCAGTATGCATCACTCAGTTAATCGTGAGAGAAATGGATGAAATTGCAAATGATCGTGTTTGATCTTCCTTATAATGCTTGTGTCAGAATAGGAAAATGATTTCACTTTGGATGTAGAGAAGATAAACTATTTAGTAACTTCCTAACTGATGAAAAAATAAATAAAATTTGCCTTAAAGCTCTTGAGGCAACTGAATTAGAGAAAAATATAGTTCATTTTGTCATATTACCAGTAGAGTTTGTTAACAATTGATATGATAGGAAATCTTCCCAAACATAACGACTCCTTGTTGGAAGTTCCAACAGAAATTGGAAAATGTGCATTTCGTTGGCGAATATTGGAGACAAAAAGTGTCGAGTTCTCTAGAGATCAGTGTGCTAGCATAGCTGAAATTATCTAGTTATGTTCAGATATTGAAATTAAGGGAAATATCTCAAATCCTACCTGCATATCAGGCCACTTTAAAGAAAAAGTTCTTATAACCTCTAGAGAAATTAAGATTGATTCCAACATTGAAAATGGATGGAAATGAGAATTTGTTCAGCAGCTGAATTGTTTCGCATTGAATATTTCTAAAAACTACGAAGGATATACCAGCTTAACGAAAACGGATACTAAATGAACCTGTAGATATGACTGGACCAAATGGCCACTTCTGTGAAAGATAGTCCTTATGCTGCAGATAGAAATTGAAACTGCGACTGATGTTCCCCTTCACTGCGTGTTAAGGCATAGACATAATTATGGAAATGATGATCATCAGAGCCAGGAGAATATAGATGATAAGCAGCAACCACAATCTCAAAGGCCTTCACGAAGGCAGTTACATCATCCTTTCTTCAGTCAATATTACAGGGATCTATTCAGAACACCTCTACGAAACATTGAAGATGATGGG